GTTCATTTGTATCTAATTTTATTTATCACGATAGAGGGAACCAATTCCATATAGACATTAGAGTGAGAATAATATGAAACCTGTGAGCCTCATGCTTAGTGCAGGGGAGTTGGCACTTTTTTTGCGCACTTTTCAGACTAAAAAACTTGTGTGTACTCTGCAACATACACATGCGTAGAAGGGCACCCATCCAGTGCATCAGCCCCAGAGGATGTGGTTGCTAGGTAATGACACACCCTTTCTCATTCATGCACAGAGCCCAATGTTCAGGACAGATGCATTACTGGGCACCTACATGTATGGCTGATTGGAATCTGATAAAATCTTGGCCTCAGGCCAGTCGTGCATGCCTGGCCATAAAATCTAGGTTTTTCTCCATCTGATATTTGCTTATTTCCAATTTGCTTCACACTATTTCTGCAATATACTAATTACTGGCACTTCCCACCAGGATAATGTGATTTACGTAGCGGTGCTGTGAGATCAGTCTGCATTGTTTGCTTGATGTGAGTGGACATGTCGTCAGTGCCTCGTTCATATTTGCACCTGGCAGGAAAGCCATGCCTTTTAGAGAATCGCATCCTCAAGGATAATCATGCCAAAGGGGTACAGGGTGTCAGAGAACAGGTGGTTGCCTTCAGCCAGTTACATGTAAGGTATGTTAAGGAACCATGTGCTTGCTGTGTTTGGCCAGTCTCGTCAAACCCAGTGATTTGTAACTTAAGATGCTTCTTATTGGTTCAGAGAACCAATTAAATGATGTTACTGATTTTCACAGTGACTGCATCCAGGACCGCCATGATCTGAATAGCCCTGGATGCATCCATATCACATCAGAGCCAAAGGAAAACATATCACCAAACAGTCCTACCCCTCCCTTTCTGTTCCGTTCTGTCATCATTAGTGCAGTTTACCTCATGGGTTCCAAAAGTGCGGAGATGAAACAATAAGCATCCACACATGCGTAGATGGTCGTCATGTGACCTGTATACCGTGCAATAAATATTTTTCCTTTTGGCCTGGGTTCCTCATCGCAGTCAACCACACCAAAAGGATATGGAATGCTAAATGCTTGACATAGCCCGATTTATTCCAACAGAATACTGTTCACACAAAACCACAACCACCATGGATTTCGTGGCAAGGACATGTAATTTGCTTCCCTGGATGACTGATGGTCACATTAGACACATAATCAGTCCAGGTTTCAAAGGACGAGAAGCTCCAGTGGAGATTAGTTGGAAACTTGTTAATGGCATCCGGCATCACAAATGTGAAGCCACTCTCTCCGGAATGAAGAGCCTGTGTCAGGCTTTTAAAATGAAATTGGATCGGGCTGTGTAATTCTTTCGTTGTCAGATAAAAAAGATATTTTTATTTCTCATATTCCTCCTCTATGGGGGCATGTGTACATTTGGGCTTGTAGTAAAAGAATGGTAGTATGATAACTAATTGTCACATCATTAATTACTCAGATGAGGCATGACTGTTGCACCAAGCAAGATGTGAAGAACATCACACCCTCCATAAGTAACAATAATTCATTCATCAGACAGTTTACCCAACTCTTTTGGTCAAAAACGTGAGTGGTTTTAAAAAGCTGATTAAACTTCCGATTACCTTAAACACCATTTTTATATCATTTTTACAACTCAGAATAAAAATTAATTGAGCAATTTTAAACAAATCAATCAATCAGTAATGGCATTTGCCTGTGGTTTTTCCCCTAAAGGTTTGGACAGTGGTGAATGAATATTTTCTAGCTTATTCTATATTTAACCTTACTGTCAGAAAGGTGGGTTCCAGTTTGTTTACACTAAGATCCAACCAGCCATGCTATTTATAGACCAATTAGCAATTCTGGTAGGTGTCCATGTGGCTCATATTAATGCTGTATTTATGAGGGAGAATTCTGGTGAAACTCAGAAGCAATTACCAGGGTCGCCGGTTGCTATGTAGACAGTGTTCACTGATGATGGATAGATAATGCCCTGTCCTGGGAGTATTCATAAAAAGACAACTGAAAAAAGGTCAGATATTGTACCCCTGAAGGGACTCCTGGAGGTATTCTTGCCTGCTCTTGCATGCCAAGTCAGGCTATTATGATGGTAAGTCATTTTTGCTTGCATGCATCATAGCTGAGCCTTGCCCCGACTGGTCACAGTGCTCAAAGGCTCTGATATTTTTCATGGAATACACATTTTACACAGAGTTGATTCATGTTGATGTGAGCTCGACTCTGAAATGGCTTCACCTAACAGCAACTTTGCATGTTCACTGTTGGAGGGAGTCATTGTACTAATGAAAGAGGCTGGAGGCTGTTTAAAATTCAGATACATGTGCTTACTTATAGCAGCAGATGCCTTACTTCTCACAGCGGTCCGTAATAAGGTGATGGCTCACCTTTTGGAAGGTTTATTGGCTTGGTGAATAGATGAGAGAGGATGTGTTATTACCAAACAGTGATGCCTCATGGGGTGGACTCATCAACTCGTGCATATCCTTGTCGGCATACATTTTTTGGTGTGGAGTATGTATGATTTTAATGTTGACAAACCGGAGGCACAGCAGCAATTGCAGTGAAGTTTCATCTTATATTCTATCTTGATCGCCAGTAAGTGGGTACCTGTACACGGAGCTTACGAAGATCCCTTAACTTTCCCCCCAAATCAGTTTGCATTTTAAGCTACTTCAACACCATACATGTGCGGAGCTTGTTTCCTTTCCATAGATTCATGTTTTCTCTTTGCCATTCTCCTCTGGCCTGTTATCTTTTAAAGCATGTCTTACGACAGAAAAGTCTTAAGATGAGGAAACACACTGCAGTGACTTGAGATATCATAATACTGAGCTTCAAGCAAAACATTCCTTGTCAACATTTAGTGACCACATCTGTCGGATCATTGCTCACTTTGGTTCTTGTCCCTTCCAGCAATAACATAGTTGGGGAAACTGATGACATGTTATTTGTTAGAAGCATTTCATGCACATGTTGTTGCCAGCACATCAGAGGTTGAATCTGGCCTGCTTCCAGTAGTCCTAGTAAATCAGAGGCAGATCCCAGAACTTTTCTGGAGGAAGGGGGAGGGTCAGGCACATTAGATATTTGTTTGTATAGCTGATTGTTCCTTTTAGGATGTCATTTAATTTATTATGTTTTAATATTACTTTCATCATTATCCCATTTTTATTGACATAAGCCTATTGTTCCTTTCATTTTTTGTGTCATTGGGAGGGGTGACCCCCAGATCCCCCTCCCCCAAATCTGCGCTTGTAGGTTTGCTTTTTTCATCTAGTGAGATGAGATCCTTCCTGCCTGCATCCTTGCCAATAACAAAACCAATCCACTCATCATTGAGTAGGTTCAAATTTAATCGGACGACATCATCAAACACAATCCAAGTAATCAAACCAATCTGATGGCCAAGAATCCCTCTCTTTACAGGCTAGATCCAGCACCCAAGAATTCACTTGCACTTTTGACTGTGCCAATATATATATATACCAGTGCATGTGCCGTATCGGGCTTACTGCAGTTTGCCAATTATTTATATCCCGGATTCATATTTGAAGTCCGGATTTCCACTTAATCAAGGTGTTACTTCAATCACAGACTAACAGCTGACCACTCAGTGCAGAGATCTTTGATGCAGCATGTCCCAGGGATCATGTGCTGAGCAGATTGCTTCTATTTATTTCCCAATGTCAGTAGCTACCTGTAGGGATGCATTTCAGGTTTGCATTGTAAACAGGCCTCAATCAACTGGCTCAGTGCAGGTTAAGAGTTGCAGTCAGCATTTGATGTTACAGAAGTGGCTGATCCAGGGGTTGCCCTGCACTTATGTGTATGAAAGGGAGCACCCTAATTGAAGTTGTTTCTTTAATGAACATACAAAACGTGTATATTAGGGACCATTCCTGTCTTTAAAGTTCTTAAATAACTGGTTGTATGCGGAGGAAAACTAAAGAGTGATACAAAAGGAAAAGGATCTCCTTGAAAAAATATTTTAAAATCAAAAAAATTGTTGGGTGCTCACTGGATGCACCCCTGGCCCTGTGAATCCACTTCATCAAATTGGATATAAAACCGTTTACGTGTGCATTTTGCGTGTGGTAATCGTGGTCTAATCACTTTGACTCAAATAATAGTTTGAGTAAAAGAAACTAATTGATGATACTTCACAACTTATATTAGTCATTTTATGACCAGTTCATACTTTTGTATGTAATTTCCTAGAAGTTTAGACATAGAATTTTAGGCCTGTTTTCAAGAGATAATTCTATTATCCTTTCAATCCAAATGTATTTTTGAGTCATCTGGAATTTTGAAGATGGCTCCTTTTTATTGAAGTATGACTCATTTTAATGTTCCTCATTTGTCAACATCTTTGCACTGGAAAGCAGCTCAGAATGGATGGAGCAAAATGCTACCAACAAATCTCTAAGATTTGGGAGAGGGTGAAAGTCCTAAACCTTGTTACAGGTTTCACCATTAATTTGCAATTTCTGTTTCCCATGAAACTAATGAATGGCAGCTTTTGTAGTCAACGTTTGTCACCCACCACCTTGTTGGGGCTTGCTTGTACTCCACTAATTGCAAAGTGATGATGGAGTGCCTGGAGACAGCAGCCTCATTGAGTGTACCATGAGTGGTCACATTGTGAAAGCCTTTAGAACTGACTAGTTTTACATTGACTGATAACAAACAATTCAAGGTGTATGCTGTTTAAATTTCTATTGTGACATGCTTGACAAGGGTATGTGTAAAATCATATTGAAATCGGAGGATTTTAGCCCTGTATGGGTTAATGGAGCATATATGTGATAGTAAGATAAGTACATTCTGAACTGATGCAGTTTCCTGAAAATAAGTATTTTAAGCATTAAGTCTCACCCCAAATACACTATGGAGATCACCTTTTTTTATAATGTCTAATGATGTTATGTATTAAAATGTTTCGGAGGCTAATCTCCCTTTTTTTCCCTTCCTTTTTTCCTAGAGTGTTTACCACAGTTGAATAAATTTTGCTCATCCATTTTTAACCGGATTAACCTGGGAGCATCTCGCGAACGGATTATCTGAGGAAAGGGACATTGGCCAGTGCAACACACACCCGCACCTCTCTCGCTAGCCTGTCAAATAGGAAGAGTGCCACTTGGACATGTGATGAACCTGTGTATTGAATAACGACTCCCCTAACCGTTCCTTCTGCCGGCAATCAGTGGCATTCTCCATGTGCAAGGGAGTGCATTGTAAGAAACGATTGGAGTAAATGCCATGGAATACCGGTACCATCATCGGGAATAAGAAATTTACTCCTATCAAAGGCATTCGAGGATGATCCATTGAACATACTGTGACAGATCTGGAGCATGCCTGATGTATAACGTTCCCACAGCATTAATTCATAGTTCTTTATGGATTATTCAAGTTTGTGCCGACACAATTTTCCTGTTCAAAATTTCAGCTCTTTGTAAGAGCACGTACTTCTGAGAAATAGGAACAAGACAAGCTGCAGCTGATGTTTTGAAGATATGAATCACGGTCTTTAGTCAAAGGCAAGAAAATTTGAATTTTTCTACAAAATATTTTTGTCCAGGGATTCTGAGTTTCAAAGAATCGTGTTGCAGTGCCGGGAACTGTGCTACACTCTCTATCAACAATTCCAGAGATTGACATTTTGCAAACCCTCTGTATTGTAATTTTTGGCGCGAACTTAACCAGCCTCTAAATCAGCAAAACGAGAATATAGCAGTAGCCTGCTAGAACCTGCCTACCCCCTTCCCCCGCAAGGTATCTTCCTACATTTGGCGGTCTCTAACCCAGTCTCGGAATAATTTGGTACTTGCCCCACTGCAGCATAATTGGATCACCTTGTCTCCTATTAGCCTCTGTGTACCACAACGTTTTCGGCCGCCATGAATTTTCTCCGGAGACGTTTTTCAGACCCAAACTCCCTGGGAAACGTGCCCAATGGATATTTTCAGAACATCGGAGCAGAGGACAACAGAGATAAGACACTGGCGTCGGCGTCTGTTCCTCCAAAGAGAGATCTCGGCTTCCTGAGCTCATTAACAACCAGCAAACAGCAAGAGAGAACCAAATGCAAGACGTTACTCGTTATTGATGACCAACACACAGACTGGTAAGTTGATACATATAGGCCTATGTCCTTATCAAATAAATGTAAAAGGGTTGGAGCACCATTCCAGCTTGGCCATAGTGCCTGCCTGCTAAATTACAGACATAAATCATATTTAGAAGTTGAATTTTGTTTTTATTTGAGCAGACAACAGTCATCTTTTCCACGAAACTGAGACAACAGGCACCAAGATTTCAACATTTCCATTTGATAATTCAGATATTTTATTTTGTTCGGCAATGTTTAACAACAACATGATTCCTGTCGCCTTTATTAAAGTGTTGGGATACAGTCATCTTTTATTTACATTCTATAAATTAATCAACAATGAATGATCAGGGATTTGTGATTTTACAGGGGGGAAAAATTGTTAGACAAATCATGTTTTGTCAGTTAGTTGATATGCACACATCGTTTTGTGAACTTGCAGTATGGTGTGGTATCAAACAAGTTTTTTACGGCAGTGTATTTTTTGTCCAAGTCAGTTGTTCAAAGACAATAATTGGCCAACGTCAAGAGTAAACCTCATGCAATAGTCAACGTGAGTTTATTTAACATAACTTTCGTGGACCTGAGAACAAAACAGATCCACATAATGCAGGCTGTGTGAATCTTGAGTGGACTAAGCCAGGTCCACTCGAGGTTTCCCCTTCAGAGCTCTGAAAAATAATTTGAGTCAGTTTGGCACACAGTAGTAAACTTAAAAAGCACTCAAAGAACCCATTAGAAATGCAGAACAGAAGAGTATGTGGTGGGGGAAAAATCAGTATTTCCCATACATTTTTGGAACTTACATGTACACGAAAACAAAGGAATGTTCAAACTTGGTTCTGGTACGTGTACGCAATGCAGACATGGTTGAACACATTGATACGATGAATCTACAAAGAGGTCCTTCTACATCTATCAGTACTGCTGTAACCCTAGCTGTAACCTGTTTCAATTACATGTACATGTACTTCATCTATATAGTTGCCCTGCAGGATTTGTCGTAACCGTGCTTTTTGTCAACAAGTTAATGCACCTTACTCTTCACTAACTCACTCGAGTATTTCTATGCAAAATCTTCCAGTTGGATGCCATCTTGAGTTTTTAACAAAATATTTTTATAATGCACAACACGACACATGTACGGGTACATGGATATTGTACTTAGTATTGTACACATTATAAAGTAGGAGGATGTTGCATTGTTGAACATGTATTTATTTTTCTCTTGTCATTTTTAAAGAGCAAGTCTTATTTGTGGGTAACTTTTCCTGTTCAGTTTACAAAAAAATTGTGTGTATAGAGAACTGCTTTATGAAATACACATATAGGCCGACTTCATACAAGTATTGGTTTGTGTGTGCACTTTTTGCTTTCATAGTAATCTTCTGAATTGTTCAAAGCAAGGAATTCTTTGATACCTCTCTCATGCCTGCCCTTCTACTAAAAAGAAAAAACAATCAGGGATGGAGATACGCGTACATGTGAGGCAAATATGGCAGATAGGGGGTACGAAGGGGGACAAACAAGTTGGGAAAGCAGTGGGGGAAAGCTTCAAAGCAATTTTGCCCAATTTCTCTAGGAGAGACGTCAGTCTGAGTAGTTTCCCACCAATTAATAATACAAACGAATTGATCCTAGCCCAATAGGGCCTACACAGTACTAGGTGAAGAAATGATTTCCCAGAGAGACTATTATGGATGCAAAATTGCTTAATTGACTGGAAGATTGAGTACACATGCATACACGGACATGTAACTATCCATTAAGGGAGAGCAATCACTTGGCGCCTGTGCTGATGACATCGTACAAATGAGAATAGTGAAATGGAGGGAGATTTTGAAACGATGAGGAGGAGTGGCTTAATTATCATCCCCAAGCAATCAGATGAGTAGCCTGATAGGGTGGTAGACTGGCCCAGAGCTTGGCAATGGAGAGAGCTTGGTCAGTGAAAATATCTCTGAAATGATAGCTTGATACCCCCCAGGCTTCCAGCATTACTGATGCACAACCACATGGATTATTTAGCAGGACAAATATTGAACTGCTTGTATGTGTGATAATTGGAAATTCCCTGCGTATGAGCATATGAAGTAAATTGGCAGTCATCAGTGCAAGTTACGCATAATGTACAATATTTATTCAATTTTAGAAAAGTAAATAATGTGACTTTTTTCAAAAGCTGATCATTACTAAAAGGCCAAATTGATCTTTGTTTTAAACATGAGGATTAAAGTCAATGAAAGTAATTAATGGTAATCATAAAAAAACGTACATGTGCATGCTGGAAAGTGCCAGGTTTTGCTGATATTTCACCCACATGTACCACATAGTTATGTTGTCATGCTGTTCTCAATTTTGAATTTCCTGTGTATACCTACCGGTACATGTAGTGTCTGGTCATTCAAAGTGCAGTGACCATGTAGATTTGCCCTTTTGTGAAATTTGGAAGGACCTGTCTCTAATTGAGTGGAGTTTAATTTCATTTACTTTGGTAGTCAACATGTAGAGACTTTTTTCAAGATGTATTTTTGCGTTGGGGAGATGTTAATTTACATAACGGGTTTTTGCCCTTACCCAACGTATATATTGATAAACACTGTATGTTCAGTGCTTGTCCGAGAGCTTGCGAAAAAAATCACAAGCTTACTCGGGTGAGAGTAAGAGACTATGTAGAGACTTGCTTTCTATTTGTTTATTGAATTATTCATAAATGACTTCCCACACGCAGACCTAACATGTGAGTGTTTGCATGTTAATTAAGTCAGTCCAGTTTCCATTTGTCCAGTTTCGTTTTGCTATTTCAATCTGTGTTTTGGCGCCTTTTGGTTTTTTTGCTAATGCAACATTGCATATTCATGAGCAAAACTGCAATCATCATCTAAGGCACTGAACCTCAATGTTGCATTGATTTGTGCCTAAAACTTGCTGGATATTTTGAATTTTGCGATTGTAAATTTTCATTTCTTGGGCATTTTACTGTTGTGTAAGCACATAGCAATAAGCCAGCAAGCAACCTTTTCTCAGAAATGTTTTTAAAGAAAAGAGCAAATCAGGGTTCACATTTGAATTTAAATACAAACTAAACAGCGTCTTCCCTGATTTACATTACAACAACAGCGCCCTCACTCCTCCAGAAAGTTTGGACAATTTTGCATGTTTAAAAAAGTGTGTATTAAAATCACACTTAACTCCAGAGGGGTTTCAAATAGTTTCAGACATTGAAGAACAGTATAAAGCAACATAAAAAATCAAAGAAAAATTTAATGCATGTTTTCTTGAACAGTAAGAAAGCGTTAAGGAAACTATCATCGATTTAAGCACGGAATGTTTCTGTGGCATCAAACTCAAATGAAAGTCTTATTTAATGACCAGTTAAAAATTTGAATTGTTTCAAATACTTGTACATGTGTTTCACGAGGGGCTCTGAATGACTCTCAATGCCCCAGATTTACTGCAACAAATGACTTCGATTGATCCGGTCACAAAGGAAAGGTTAAAAAAAAAGAAGACCCTGACTTCTCTCTTATTTAACAAGATTGTTGAATGGCGCCCTCTCTCATTAAGTCAAAACAAGTTTGACTTTTAACTTGATTTTTTTTCAGTTTACACTTCATATACAATGTTCTATTTTGTGAAAACAGTCTATACTCAGAACTTGGTGTATTACAGTTACATGTAGCTTCCCTTGTAAGTCGGTAACGACTTAATTTAAGGGTCAGCCACATTCGCTGTGTTGCACCAACAGCCAGAAAGTTATGCCAATGAACAAAATGGAAACTAATTCTTCTTTAAAAGATGGAAAAAAGACATACATTTGCTTTCATGCAAGTCATTTGTGTTTTTAGAACCCTGCAACTATCAGTATTGGGGAAACCTATACTTCAATTATGACAATTTACTGTTTCCTTTTAACACATTCATGCACTTTTATTGTCTTATGCTTCAGACACAATATAAATCATGCATGTCACCCTGTAATAGGTTTATATATATGAGTCATTTTCCTTTTTGCTTGTCTCTTAAGGTCCAAATATTTCAGGGGCAAGAAGATCCATGGGGAATTTGACATCAGAGTTGAACAGGTAATTATCTCCTTATACAGTTTTGGGTTTTGCTGTTGTAGTAAGTACTGGCTCTGTTTTGTTTTGCTCAGTGGCCGGTTTAGCAAAATAAAAAAAATGAATGGCATACTTGTTCAAAACATTAATTTTCACAAGATAGGATACAAATTCCTTCCCATGCATGTTTTGAGTCTCCATGGAACCAATGGTTTTATTGTTCTTATTTACTGTGCACCAGTTTGTTCTGTACAAAGATGGAGAATGATTGTTTAGTGTTTAAAAAAGTTTATATTGTTAGAATAAACAAAAATTAAAGAGGTGCCCTTTTGGTTTTTCTCATTCATTTATTCAATGTTTATTTTAGTTTCAAATGTGTCAGTATAATTTTGATGACCTACTTGCTTTTTCAACTATTTAGGGTGAATTTTCTGAGCTGAACCTTGCTGCTTACGAAGACAGTGGAGTTACAGTGGATCTTAGAGGTTACAGACAGGGACAAAAAATAGTCAGGTTAGTCAATGGTGTTCAGTCTTCTGAGTTTGTGATTCAGGATAAAGATTCTAGTAACAAGCCGATCCAGGACTTTCATCAAGGCTGGTATTATTGTACATTACTGCACATTTCCCGACAAGGAAAGATCAGTGATTGATTTTCAAGACATCATTGGCGCTTAGCCCAAGCCTAAAATTTCTCAGCTTCTTGTGGGAAACCTGTCTTTTTACGTTTGTATTTCAGAACGTTCAAGCCTGACTTTGTCCTTGTCCGTCAGCATGCCAGAAGCATGGAGGTACAAGAGGACTGGAAGAACATCATTATTGGCTTTCAATATGGCAATATTCCCAGCATTAACTCATGGCAGTCACTCTACAACTTCATGGACAAGCCCTGGGTTGTGAGTTGACATCTTTGTATTTTTTCCCATAAGTATTTCAAGACGGAAAAGATGGTAACAGACCCATGAAGGAGGTGCCTACCTATTTGGAGCAATTGTGTTATGAAAAGAGAACACACTGTTACTGAGGTGAAAATTATTGTTAATCACAAATGCACTGATATGGGAATCACACAATGCAGTCTTGTGATAAGTTCTTTGGTTGGTTGCTCATGATATCTTAAGCTCTCAGCGTCATTTTTAGCCTTGTTCTGTGGTATACCATTAAGAAGCAATTGTGCATAAGATTTTTTCCAGACAGAAGCATCTTATCAAGAGCACCTATTCCTTTTAGCCAGTGTCTGGCCAAAGTTCCATGGAAACATGTTTGTGAAAAAAAGATGGACAGTTTTGCCAAACAAATTGGAGGACACACACTCGGATGTTTTTTAAGATGCATTGAAAAGAGGTTATTTTTGTTCCTCTGTGAAGTTTGCTCAACTCACCAAGATGCTGGAGAAGCACGGAAGAGACAAATTTCCTTTGATTGATCAGGCGTTCTACCCCAACCACAAGGAAATGGTAAGTTCTGACTCTCTCACCTCCTACTTCTTCCATTCTTAACATGATTAATTGGATTGAAGTCTAAAGCTGAGATGGTACAGTATGTGCGGCCACGGCAACGCTACGCCGCATCCCAGATCAATATCACTACCCACTGTGATTTGTCAGGCAGGTTGCAGACTCAATACCCTCTTCGCTAGACAAACACTGCATCAAATTTTGGTGGTTTTAGACTGTTTGAAAATTGGACACACATGGTAAAGTTTTCTCTTTTTTTGTCATTGTTGGTTATTGTACTAGTAGGTTTACTAGGGTAACACATAGTGTCTCTGCTGTTGATGGACATAAATCTTTGAAGCATTAATTTAGTAAAAACTAATTGTTTGTGTAACTGTATCAGAAAAAATTCCCTTTTCCTTATTAAACAAAAAGGAAACAATATCAGTGTGTCTCATCAAACTGTTTGTAATTTTGCATTTCTAAATTGTTTTTAAGCATAAGGAAACGATATTTCTTTTGTTGTGTAGTAATTTGATTGGAGCCATTTTCTGGCAAGCAATTTGAAGTACCTAAAACAAGTTGAAAGAACTTTTCCAACATGTTGTTCAAACCTATTTGAAACCGTTGTCTACTTTGCATGTTGATACAAGCAAGTGGCCTTTTCCCTCTCGTAACCTCGCATCCATACCAACCTGGTTCATTCCTTCATTAAGTGAACGTAACACTGAGAAGGGGGTAGATTGCTAAGGCAATCCGATAGCCAGGCTATTACGATCACAAGGCCGATTAAACTGGCCAGATCTGAGCTTGACAGCCAGCCTGAGTTAAGGTCGAGTGAGCTTGAGGCCCGAGGATGGAGGGTCCCTCTCAGATGAGCGAACATCTGCGACGAGTCTTGAGATGATCCAATAAGACAACTCATTAAGGATGCATGAAGAATGAAATAAAGAAGGGGTGAATGTACCGTTTCTGGTTCACATTAGGCTACTACCTATCGGCCTCCTACTTTTCCAAAGGTGATGTTTAGCATCCATTTGAATCTATGTGCCATGTTTGGAAGATCTCTCTCATGTTGTTTCTGAAGTAGGGTTTGTTTGTTTAACAGTTGCTAAATGGGTATTCCTTCCCCCGTATCTGATATTGCTTTCCAACTGTTTTATGTTCCCTTTAAAGCAAATGATAATGTAAAAGCCTTGAATACAGATGCTTAGTGGTTGCTCTCATTTATTATTGGGGATCAGTTTTAGCAGCCAAGTAACTGATTCACTATCTGTTTAGTTAAAGGGACTTATCAAATTTGTTATTACAGGGTCCAGACAACCGTGCCATATCATGCTCCAGCTGATTTTTCAGAATTTGTTGTGCAGGATTTTAACTTCCTGAGAAGTTTTGAGTGTTAATATCATGTACAATATGGCCGTTTCACAATAGTGCGCCACCAAGAGTTAGCAACTCGCTGGCCGATCACAATGCGCAAAATTTGTCGACCCAATGCGTGTTTGGAAAGAATAAACAAATTTCGCGCGTTATGATTGGCCAACGCATTGCAAACTCTTGGTGGCGCACTATTGTGAATTGCCCGTATTGTACATGCAATCAAAAGTACACACCCTCTTACATAGACCTACATAAAGACATTATGTACCTGGCGGAAGGAGACTCGGGCAGTGTTTCCGCACAACTTACAATGTAAGGAGTTGGCTTATTACATGCAAAGCCTCTTGGCAGGCAGCAGATGAAGTGATATAGAAATTCAAACATTGCAAAAGTTCATTGTAAAGTTATTGAGTAGCCATAATAGACGCATATCTTATTTTGGTACCTTTGTTTAGTCAAAAGCTGGAGTAAAACTGTTCTAATTTTGTGGGGTTTCGAAGACACATTCAAAATCATTTCCCAGTTGCTGAGACTTTGACAACCATGTATCTTTAAAGAGTGTTGTGTCTGGCACTGTCTGATTGCTGATATTGTTAAGACTGCTGATTGCTTTGCCCTAGATGTCCCAGTAGCATAAATGTTACTGCCACCCTAGTCTCCGTGGTCTCTACCTCTGCTATCATTTTCCTTGCCGGCTCAACCAAAGTACTTGATCTGATTTCTTCATGCCTTCTGTAATTAACTTGATAATCTGATATACACAAAGGATTTGAAATCCTTTAGCATCAGTTTTTTTGGGGAAAAGGTTGGAACACTGCCAAGTACATGTATCTTCTTATTTGAGAACCCGTTTCCTAGTTGTAAGCCCTCAATTTTGTTTTAAGAGAGTAAGACATAATATTCCGTGATAAAAGAATGTTTTCCTTTTGATAAAAAACTGAATCCGCAGATTGCAGACATGAAGAAATGGTGTGATTTGTAACAGTTTATAAACTTTTTTAATACACTCAAATATTGCAAATGAAGAACCAGACAAATAGTTCAGAACAAGATGATTTACATTAAATTAAATAAAAGAAGAGGATGAAATTTCAACATCAGCTAGCTGTGAAATGGGACAAATTAAAACAATAAATTAATTCAGGGCAGGCCTTAACTATAACACAGCGAAGCACAGTTTTAGCTTTTTTATACAGTTGTATTTACATAAATTATAAATAGGGAATAGAAGTGAACTTGTAGCTTGTCGCCTCCCAAGACAAAGAGCAAGTAAGATGCACAACAAAATAGAACAAAAGGAATGTAAAAAGGACAAACAGTGGGAAAAAAAATGTTATTTTGTGTAAGACAATCTGCAACCAAGATTCCTTGCTTTGCCAACAAGCTGTGTCTCTCAAAAATGCATGAGTTGGAGACTCATAGTTTTCTTTTTTTTGTGCACATAAATTACATTAAACATGAAAAAAGAAACCTTAAGTTGAAAAATATAAAATACTGTAAAACTTGCACACAACCATAAAAACAGCAAATTAATCAATGCCATTAATACATTCATTATCAAGGTATAACATTGAACACCTTTTCAATGTTTCACAGAAAATACATGTATGCTTTAAAAAGATGAGTCAGTTGAACTTCAACCAGTGAAACCAACAGTTTTAGAGACGAGATTTTTTCTCCTGAAGCCTACTAGAGTTAGTTCTGCCTGTATTATTCTTTCTTAGCGTATGTGACAACAGGGTACCGGTGTATTTCATAGTCTGTTGAATGTTTGGGCAGTGTTATAGTTTTAATATTTTATTTTTATAAGCACCTACAAGAGCTACTTCTCCTTAACAATTGCAGGTTGTGACTGAGGCTTATCAGTGTGAGATACTGGACACATACAGTTTTACTGAAAAGTTGAATTTGTGGTTTTGCCGAACATGTTTGTTTGATTCCTAGTACCAAATGTGGATGCGTCATGTCTACATGTTTAGCATGATGTGACATTTTGACTGTGTGACTTGACCTCCAATCCCAGTCCTAGTAACTGAACTTATCTGATTAGACTGCTATCCTTGGATCGCTATGTAAAGTGTTCTATCATGTCATCATTACTTCTTGAACTAATACTGAAAATGCCACAAGCCCACATTTTCAGAGCTATTTTGTTGCAAATGCCTCTAAGGAAATTAGCCAAGACCAACCCTAAGGCCATGTTTGTTTCACACGGAGCTAGATCTAGATCAGTGATCCTAACGATGGTCCGCACCATCCATTAGGCGAGTTTTGGTGTCTGTATACCAACGACAAATCACTGATCATTATCCAGATCCGTGTGAAACAAACACAGCTTAAGTTATAGGCATATGCGGAACATGTTTTTTATTATTGGAAAAGTATTATTAAGCAGTTTTATCTAGGCTTTATATAAAAATTTTTCAAGGCACCAAGTATTAGAAAAACACTGTTCAAAAAGTACAAAATTTTAATCATTTTTAAAAAGTGTAAAAATGGTACAAAATGCATCTTTGGTCATCTGAATATTAAAGTGAACTTAGGGAAGTACTTTTAAATTGATTTGAAATTTTGAAGTTTGGTGTAAGGCATGTCTTCATCTTGTTTCTTCGGAACGTTGTAGTAGGGCAGAATAGGTGTGGTCACAAAGTTTTCAGTGGATCTTAAGAATTTAATAGCAAAATCTTGCAAAGTTATGGCAGTGTGTCAAATATTTAGTAGTTTGAGGAGGACCCTTGTGGCAAGCCAGTATTTCTCAGGGGATGAGGCTATGATTGAGTCTGGGCATCTTGCGATCCTGTCGTGTACAGTTCTGTCTTGTCATCAGCTCATGAGTTTGAAACCATTTGCAGGATCCTCCGTCATGTCTGCCACACGAGGAATGTAGGTTGTGGCACTGATCATTCATTGGATCCCAGAAACAGCTATCACCTTGCTTAACTCGTTCCATCTCTTGTTGGCCGCATGGTGAGAACTTCCCGCAGGTGTCGATCTGATTCAGGAATGATAAAGTTAAAGAAACTATCAGCAAAATATATAATCATTTGCTTGCTTATTGCGCATGCTTTTCTGGACTCAGTGGAATGGAGGACTTTCTTGGAAACAAGAGCAACATGTTGAACCATTTCAAACATTTGACCTTCAAAGTTTAACCTAAATTTTCACAACTGCCATTGACGTGCCAGCAAGGTGTTACATTGTATGCAGTGTGGTGAAATCAGAATTGCCCAGAATGCAGTCAGTATGTATATGTTTTCAGCTTTGAAAGTATTCACATGTAAATCAGGTTCACTCTTTTACCTGCCCTTTGGTGGATGAGGGGTTACTGTTCAGAGAAGACCTGGGAAGAGTTAAATCTCTCTAACTACTGGTAAAAGTGTTATAACTGTTTCCTATTTAAATGCAAATGTAGTACACGTAATTCTGTACGTAGCACGTAGTTGTTGCTGCGTCCAAGCGTACCTATCAAGATTTCATCAGAATAAATGCAATAGTCTGTTAGCCCTAAGAAAAGCTCAGCATCCATTTTAAAGATCTGAATTAGCTACAACGATTCAGCAAGTTCCTTATTTTTGGCTGAGGCAGAGATTAAGACAATAATTTTCCAAGGCTATGTGTACTTAAACTCTGATCTTCATCAGCAGAACACTTAGAAAGCGTGATAGATTTTTTTCCCCTAGCAGGGAAGTGTGTAATTGATTTTGGATGGTGCATAAGGATGTGTTTGCAATGTTACTTGGACTTGATGAAGGACTAGTGCAGTATTGCCACTTAAGCTGTAAGGTAACCCTGGACCAGGACAGCATAATGAGATTTTATGTCAATATCGGCCTCTTTCTGGAAGTGAACTAAGATTGTTGTCTTGCAACCCAACCCAGGATATTGGCTGTGCTCTGATGTTGTCGGTGTAGTTTGAGTAGGATCAGATGGAGACATTTATGCCTGGAACAGTCACTCTGTTTAAGTACATTTAGTATCGTGGCACTTGCAAAGGCACTTTGGACTTTAGCACTTGGAGCAAAAACCAGATTTCTCTTATTGAATATAAATGTGTTGTCCTTTGCATTGCATTCAGAAATAAAGTCAGAGTAATACAATCACAGCAAGTGTACAGTGTAGTTAAAAAGGGGAGGGAAAATGCGTAACTTTACAGTTTTGTTTTGTGCGAGTCGAGAATTTCTGTTCATGGAAATTTCTGTTCAATTTTATCCTGTTCTCAAACTCAGTGATGGTTGGAGATAGCCTTCTATGGATAATCACTTCTGAATGATAGCCTTCTATGGATAATCACTTCTGAAATAAAGAATTGTTTTTATTGCTTAGATGAACTCATAAATAACCCTTTCTCCAGAAGAGGATTGTTTTCCTTGCTTACCTTACAAGAGTCGCAGTTCTTCTCATACCAGTACCGCAAACCACGCCTCTGATGCTTGGATATTTGTGTCCAAGGTTCCCTCCAATTGCAATTGGTAAACTTCAGTTTACTATCTGTAAGAAGACCTGGAGGTGAAATTATGGGTAGATATTTATCTAATTCATTTTATTTTTCTTCTGACAATATGAGTTTGATTAGCTTTTGTATAGGAACATGATTACAGAATCAATTTTGTGGTTCATTGAGCAAATCCCTGTTACAGGGATGCAAAAAGTCACACTTTCAGACCCGTGGAGTTACTCATGTGTTTCATTGTTCACCAACAGAGGGCGCCCTGACCACTCTTCAAGACTAGTGGTTTTCTTGTTTGGGTTGATTGAATTGATATACTGAACAAGGGAAAGGCAAAGCATCTTCATAGGGAAAAAGTTGCAGATTTCTTTCAAATAAAAGAAAAGTTGAAGTGGTAGATGATTACCTGTTGTTAGGCAACGAGTCAAGTTTGACAACCTTTGTACAAAATGTCATAAACAGTGGCAAGGAGGCCTGTTTGGCAGTGTGCAGGTGAACATAGGGAGATATTTCCATACATTGTCTTGACCAAAAGATGATTTACTGTTCTGTTAATTCAGGTAAGCTTCTTCACGGCTCTTGGTTTAAGGTCGCACTTTGCTACAAGGAACAAAAACTCTGAACCCACCCATTATCACATAAGTCTTTCCAACTTCGAGGTCAGTTACCCCACACATGGATTCGTAGTAAGACGTGACAATCTCCGGATGACTTCCAACGGCGATAAACTGGTGGCCTTTGTAAACCTCTCTCACCCAGAGCCTGAAAGATCTTTGAGCACTTGTCAGGACGGGCAGGGGGAGCTTCTGGAGGTTGTGCGCATCGTAGCCTTTCTTGACGAGCATCTTCTCAGATTTGATTCGGGCTTTGATCACTGTGGAAGAAATGAGACACAAATGAAAACACAATAAGTTGCAAGGGTTGGCAAAAAATACCTTTCAAGATTTGCCTTGTAGGCTCACAGCTTCTAACTTGAGTGACTCATTTTTTTGGTTCTCCACTTATGTTCTTTCAATCTTTTGCAGTATTTGATTTCAAATTATCTCTAATTCCAATTTTGCTGCTTTACTGGTATTTCATACTGCAACACCTTCAGTTTATAACAAGATCCTTGGGTCTGTAAGAATTTCCTTTTTATCAAAGGAACCCAACAAAGAACATAATGACTTGGAACCTAAAATATCCCTTGTTCAGTAACGGTGCTGTTATTTTCTGGGTCAAGTATATGCTGGATACAGTGTTCAGTTTATGCATTTCTGTCAAACGAATTTCAACTTTGTGTTTCTCATGTTCAGAAATACAATCTAGAAGTATTCATGTACAAATAATGTGCACTCTGTTCATGTAGTAAATGTTTGTGTGAGCTCGATCATTGGTACACTGCCAACTCTGGCCTAGGTACATGTGTGATTCCTTTCCTGTTTGTGCAAGCAGCTGACTTACTTGTGGTTCACATCAATAAACAAAGAAATAAACAGACACAAAAACAAATAAACAGTAGTAAACATGTAGCAAACAAGAGACAACAGTGACAGTCGGCAAGATTGACTAGACTCATGGAAAGGAGGAAAAAATACACTTAGCAGTAAGCAAGCAGGAATGGATAAATAGGTAACTAAACGAACATGCACCTGCTATTCAGGGCATTCCTGGTTGAATAGACATGTATCCTTGACTGCAACACCTGGCTTTGAACAAACAGGAGCCATTATGCAATGTTGATAGGATTATGCCTTGTGTACCTGGCCATTGTTGCTGGTAGATTCAACTAATAATTGCTTGTTGATAAAGCCATTATATGGCCTTTGTGCAAACCAAGGCACACTTATGCAGAATCCTTTGGCATAAAGGTCCTGTCTAATAGAACTTAAAAGTATTCCATTTTTGTTCAATGAACAGTATAAAATGTAACTCATGCTGTGGTACTGAAAGAAGGAAGTGAACGGAATTCTTTTCTGAAGTGTGGTTGAGAATAGCACAGCTGCATTGTTTTGTTCTTGAAGATTTTTTTTTTTCGGGGGGGGGTTACATTGGCAGTAGAGTCAATTTGCCCAAATCACAAGACTGGGTTTAATTTATGATAGAATGGGATATCAAGGACTGTTTAATGTCAGTCAAAAGTCTGTTCCATAATGTAGGACTCCTTTAACCGAAACTAAAGAGAGTATGGGTGTTTCTCTTGGAATATAAATGTAAAGAAATGAATGAATGAAGCTTATATTCTTTTAAAGAGTCTTCATCATGCTTCATTAGCAGGAATTTATCTTCCGTGAATTACATTGCAGCTGCTCTTGATTGTTTTTTTCTGGTGAGGGGGAGTACATGTACTTACCATCTGAAATTTGGCCAATAAATAATATGGTTTCACACTATACAATGGCACAAGGTCAGTAGGCAAAGCCAAGTGTATATGCCTCGTTCATGTAAATGACAATGAACTAGTTGCTGTGAACCAATCAGCTGGTTTTGAGGACAGTCAACATTGACAATTGATGTCAGATGGTGTCCCATCAGTATGAAGAAGAAAGCAGAAAAATGGGATGATGGATGAGAACAGTATCGTACAGTTACCAGAGGACTGGAAAAATTTCATTAACTCCTGTTTGTGTCACTTTGGTTCCTGTTATTTGTTCGGGAAAGTTGCCTTAGTCGTGTCGGTTTCAGTTGACTGGCCACTGCCAGCGTGGTCTTCATTGTTGGGAGTTTAAAAGGATGCATGGATATAATAAAATAACCCTGAGGGCTTTTGGCACGCGACGCCACGCGAAGCCGCACGAGCTAGGGATTCTGAGCCACGCTGGCGCTCCCCATCATCGCTGTTGTCAAACAAAGAGAAAAGCTATGTCACTAAGGAGCTTAAGCCGTCCCCGGCATTGTCCGCCCCTGCCAAAACTTTCAGCTTTTATTCCTTTAGTACCCGCTCCATTGATTTGCAAAGGGTGCAGGGAACAAAAGAACATCTGCATGGCGCGTGCCCGGCATCACTAATCAGACAAAATGTAAAGAAAAACTGGCTTGAAAACTGTGGGCCAGCCCAAATAAAGCCGCAGGAGAGTGTTGTGGTTTTCTTGGCCTGTGTCTAGCTGTTGCTGGCACCAAATAATGAGATTTCTTAACAGTAATCTTCAGATCACATTAAGCCCCATAATATTGCTCTGTCCACCTCCAATTTGTGATGTTTCTAAAAGGTTCCTAATAGTGGATAGTGACATGAATGGACTGGAAATGATGGAAGGTTAACTTCAGTAAAAAGTAAACTTTTCCTCCTATTGGAATTAGGGTAATAATCTAAGAAGTTAATGTCTAAAGTATCTAGAAGTTTTAGCAACCAAACTGAAAAAACAGTCCCAAAAATTCTTCATGGCTATGGATTCTTAATGAGACTATAAAAATGCTTGCAAATTCTTCACATTGAAAGAGGCATGTTGTAAAGTGTCACCAGATACTATAGTGTTTTAAGGTAGAAGGTTTGCGGATACTCCATGTGGAAAATATCTCCTGAGTATGTGTGGTTCTGAAAAGAACCAGTTACTCTTTTCAGAACCACACATACTCAAAAAGAGATATTTTCAACATGGTGTATCCGCAAACCCTCTACCTTATTGTATTCCACTATGCAAACCTTCAAGATGATGTATAGTGATGTATTGCAGAAATTTCCAAACGACAAAAGGATGCTTGAAATTATCTCTGACAACCTTGCTAACTGAGACGTGCAGTGAGAAAGCGTATTGGACCTCACAATGAAATTTAATTATATCTTGTAAACAGAGAGAAATTTTTTTCCCCAGATTTCACCAGCATTCCATGTGGGCATAACCTCATTTGCTTTTACTTAATATAGAGATACAGAGTTGGTGTCAAACCTAAAGCCAGTATGGAAACCAAGCTTTTTTGAAAGTCAGAACAATTATCCTCGAATCATTGAATTTAAAAGTTATGTTATCATTGTGCTGTAAAAAGTCAACTTACCAAAATGCGAGTTGCAGAAATGGTGTTGGGTATGCTGTGGCAGACAGGAACATGCAGTCACATTCTTCAGATGGCCCACAATCACCATCAATAGAAATAAACAGACAGCAGTACCAGCCCACACAGATGTTGCCATCCTGGCTAGGTTGGTTTAGGGCTGATCTGTACTTTTCTCTTTAACCTGTGCAGACAGATAACCCCCAAAACTCGCTGCAGTGGCTGATCAGTGCTTGAAATGATCCTGTAACTAGTAATGCTTCAGCATGGGTGCAAAGCTGGACCTATGCAATGCACTCCGCCCCCGTGGAACCCCAAACAACAACTAACACAACCACACCGCTCAGCACTTCTCTAATATTGATCGTTGGTATACACTACAACTGCTTTATTGACTCAGCCCCCGTTTACCACCAATAGGAGCCAACCAGCCAGCCACAGCCACAACGAACCCCCTCATGTGGCCCTTTGTTCAATGAAGCAGACCCCTTCAACCAGCCCCTCAACAAAGACTTGCACACGCTTGTGTGTGTGCATGCAGGGACAAATTTGTTCAGCACCAAGTTACCAAGAGGGACTTAATTAACAATAAAAAATGTGGTTTGGCTGATCATTTTTGGCTGAGCCGCCTTGCCCTTTGTCTATGGAATAATGGAAGTGCTTCGTGCAATTAGGCCTTACTGAGGAAATTGGTACAACCTGCTGGTAGTAGAAACCATTAACCTGTAAAAAAAGATGCTGTTACATAAGAACTTCAAATTTCTTCAAAGTACCAGTAATGATTTGTTCTTTGAAAGGAATCTTGTTTTACAAAAATTGGCTCTAAAAATCAAAGTTTTCTTCCTTTTCCCTCAGAAGTTTGCTGAGGATTTCTTTCATTTTTCTTGAAACTAACCCAGAGTTCATTAAAGCATAATAATCCACTACTATATTTAATTGGGGCCAGTAATATGAAGAACTGCAAGTAAAGTTCCAGTATGAAAGTTCCAAGGGCTGCATAATGCCAGATAACTTTTCTTAAAGTTCTGAGGCATCTGCAAACTGCATTTTGAAAGACTAATATAAATTACCTCGATGAAGTGATGTGAACAACTCTAGGCCCAAACAAAATTTCATACTGTTGTCTGAGTTATGAACAAAAAGGAAAGCTACCAACTCACAAATGGGAATTGATGCAGTGACAGGAACAAGATTAATGAGTTGTCACAATGTAGATTAGTTCAGGAAACATGCATGGAGAGCTTATAAAATGAAAGCGGCAACCGAAAGGACAATTGGACTTTGGAATGGTTTCTTCAAACATGCTCATTTATGAGTGTTTGCATTGGTGGAACATGGCATTGTCATGAAAAGTGTTTAAGGAAGCATAATTATGTCTCCAGTAAAATTACGGAACATATATTCGTGGAGATAAAGGTATTTTCTCATCAGTTTATAGTTGTTGGTACTCTGTATTGTTCGAACATTAAAGGAGGTCCCTGGGCATTCTAGTGTAGTAATTTTTTGCTGCATCTGCAAGTCAAAGCTGGTACCCTGACTTTAAACTCACACATTTTTTATTTGTTTTTGTTTCGTGATTTTTTTAAATTATGGATCCACTGACCAAATATTCCGTTTCCACCATTCTTTAATTTTTCCTTGCTAAGTATTGAAGTTGTTATTATTGTGGTCCTGTTACAGCATAAAAAAAACCCCAAAACATATAAAATGTTATCATCATGCTTTGTGCTTGACAAATTTCAAACGATAATTTATTCATTTTGCAATTCCATTGTTGCCTGTATCTAGTCTCCCTGTTTACCAACCTACTGAGACTTAACGATTTGGAAACAAACTGTAGATTTTTTTTATTAAAGTATAGTCTTAACACCACAGAGCTTCACAACTTGATCTTTTCTAAAAAAACGAGATGACTTTCTATTTGCATATTTGTAGTTTGAATCCGAATAAAATTTTCTGAATTGTGAAGTGTCTGGTGTTTTCTTGTTTGTCAAAAAGGTAAGCAGAAAACAGGTCAGACTTGGATCAAGTATCATTTCTCAGATGTACAGTTGTTTGGCTGTAGCAGTGCCTCCTTTTGTTTTACCTAGAAGCTATTTCTCAGCCTATCTTTTCCAAGTAATGTTTTTTGTTTCTCGCAGTCACGTCTCTCCAGTCATTTATTTATATGCTTAGTCATTTGTCCTTATAAGTTTCTCATGCCTTGTGGGAATGTCGTTAATTCCCTTGGAGTAATGTCACTCTGTACTCAGAAACCATGATGACTAATCACAGTGTGAATTTGCCATCATCAGAGTTCAAAGTCTTGCACTCAGTACTTCAGATCACCACTGTGTCAGCTAGGATACATTGAAACTCAAGACTATTTCTATGAGATCTGCCCATATGTGTGTTCTTCTTTTGTTCTCTTCCATCTTCCAGGTTCTCACATAATTTTTGTCTAATTTTTCAGGGCTTCCCAAAAGTCAGTTGCAACTCCAGCTTTGCCCGATTTTTAATTCCCTAACTTTTAAGTTGTTGGCTCGGCATTTAGTGATATTTTGTAACTGGAATATTAAAATCCATGCAATCACTCAAAGATGGAAATATTTTTGTTTAAATCAAGCCTTATAAAATGCAGGTAGGCCTATAAGTGGTTTCGATGTCAGTGACTAAGCCTGTCAACAAATTAGATGAATGCTTTGGAAATTTGATATTTAAGAATTAAAATTAATAGCCATTTTCAGGGGGCAGAATGTCCAGGACATCGTGCCCTCTGAAAATGTAGTTTTAGGGCAAGAGATCGCGAGTGAGCTGTCTTACTGAATCAAGACAATTAAAAAGACAACATAGTTTCAGATTCTTGAGATGTTGAGTGGAAATTTCAACCCTAGTCTTACTTCTTACTGTGGAGTGGACTCGCTGAGAACTGCACTCAAGTGATGAAGTGTCAGTTAGCATGTCATCGACCAGCACACGCTAAGCATGTGTTTGTTCAAGTGTATGTCTCTATATACAAGTTTGGCTCAGTGCCTTGATGTATGAATGAACTGCCTTGACTAGTTCACCTGGCACATCCCTCATCCAGCTTGTATTGGAGGTCAGTGATGCATTTCACTTTTTGATTTTTCTTACATGTACATCCAGGTGATGCGTGTTTACCAAAAATCTCAGCCTTTTTATATGGTAACAATTGTGAGTGAGCAGTTGAGCGAAACCAGTGCAGAAATTAGGAGAAGTCCATTTCCAATAAAATGCAACGAAATGCCTGTTTGTACCTGTATGGTTGGTTGATTACCTGCAGAACCTTTGAGTGGTTCAGCCATTGTTTGTCAGCAAACACCTGCATTTTCCCTCAGCTCCTGAGACTATGTCATTTTTCAATCTGGGTCCAGTGCTGCCTACATGTACGTTTATTTAGGAAGCTTCTCCCTTTCTGTTTCCTGTAAATTACAATGTGGATGAATTTTGAGGAGGATTGGGCAGTCATTGGAGGGCTTCAAATAAGTGACAAGGGGAACAATTTACAAATATGATTTGATCGGTAGATTTCACTAGGATTTTCTGAGGTGCCCTCGGTTATCTATCAGCATACAACATTATAACAGTAGTATGAAGCTTGCTTAACTTATCAAAATCTAGCGGGTGAGTTAGAGCAGAAGTTACATTTTGTTGAATGCAGCAGGACTCAGGTTTGATCAGTTCATTGTTGAGTTGTGTCTGTCCTCGAGCGCTTGATTTTAAAAGTGTTCAAGGCAAGAATTTCGCAGAAAAGGTGAAAAAGGATCAAATCAAAGCTGGATCAAATCACCCCACTCAACATTGCTCACTCAATTGTCGAAATCAAGTCTATCACAATTTAAGTCCCTCCAAGTCCATCAAAAGTCTTCCACTCCTAATCCAGGCCACAGGTTACTCAAATGAACTATGACAAAGCATTCCTTCATCACTGTTCACCCAGTTACTCTTGTCTGGTCTTGTGAAAGGACTTGTGACTACTGTTGTGGAGGGACTTGTGAAAGGACTTATGATAAACTTGACATGTGTCAGTGAATTCCTGTCATCAGGCCAAGGTGAAATATACCAGTTTTCTAGACAGAGGTTATTGTTGTGTTAAGGAGTCCTGAAAAACCAAAAGAAGGAAAAAATATTAATTGGGAATAACACATGTACTTGTACCATTCTTTTTTCTCCCCCCCCCAAAAAAGTTCTGTGATAAGAACATTGCTATACATTGAATTGATATGCTGCCCTCTGTTGGCAAGAGTTGGCTCAAGTTATGGAATGGACCAGAACTGGGTCAGCGGACTCAGAGAACTTGGTTGTGTCCCAGAGGGGCTTCCAGATTATTTTTGGCAAGCAAGTGGAGAGAAAAATTTGCAGTTTCTTTCTAATGGAATGTCCTATGATGAAAACTGACTTGTACTTGTTCATTTATATTGACAAATACTTCCTGAGTTCTCCTTTCATGGCCTGGTGCTACAGTTTGCATTCATTAAGGTGTTTTTATGTTAGTTTTTTTGTATCAAATTCCTTAAGATGACTATTTCTATTCCAAACAATATTAGACTCTTATCATCATCGAAGAATGAGCTCACCAACATTCCATCTATTGGTATATGCCTGTACATGTAATACCATTTGAGCAAGAGCAAATTTAATTTGGGAAAATGGAAGCCTCCTATTCTGGTGGCGGTGTTGTTGCCAATGGTGGCATTCCATCTGCGACCTTAAACCTTCCACAGGGACGATAATTGGTCAATGAATTTACAGGATATAGATTACAAATGTGATCTTGACCTATCCCTTAGTCACCCCTCTCATGCACAGGTGGGAGCCATAATTCTGTTCCTAAGCAGTTTTGGTGTCAAAGGTCCCGGCTTGCTGATGTATTTTCCCCCCATAGCCAAATTGGCCGGATTCCATCAGGAGCTTTTTCCCATAATGTCAGAGAAGTGGAATGGGCTGATCACGTAGTTCACGTTAGTATTCACCCTTGGGGTTTGATAGGGGCACCCTTGTTTCCTGACTCCAAGACAGGTAGATCTGGCAGCATGCCACAGATAACAAGCAAAAGTATGAAAACACCTCCACCTGTTGGTCGTGCTTAAGTTGTCTAGCACATATCTGTGTCCCTTCCAATAAACATTCCCTGTGCCTGAATAGGCTTCAAGAAAATGTCAGCCAGCAAAGGAAAATGAGAGACTTTGGAATTTATTTATTATTTTGAGTTCCCATTTGAAATATCCAAATAGTGAACAAATACAAACAAATCCAGCAGTACACATGTACAGTGCATTCAATTATAGAATCTTTGTTAGATTGTTGCTATACACAAAGAGTGATAAACAGTGTGCCACTGACTATGTACATGTAATCTAACTGCTATAACAGATGCAAGTGCATATATATCAATACACAAACCAACAACCTTAACCTTGTATTGTAGATATTTTTTAAATGTCACCTCCATATGAGCCACTATAAGAACTATGTTTTTTCAACCTGTGAAATTACACTGTTGGCCCCAGATTGAAGCTAGTTTGAGGAACTGTTTCTTTTACCCTCACAGTCCTTAATTTCAGAATGATTTTACATACACCCCAGGGGGTTAGGTTTAATTCTGGTATCCGCATGACTAAAGCTGTCCCTCCCACTATCACAGTCAGAAATCCCTGAAGAATTACTACAGGAAATCCTCATTGTATGTCTGGACTGTAATACAGGATGTTAGAACGGAGGTTGATGGCGGAAACTCTAACACTAATCATACCAACTTTGAACCACATCAGTGACTTTGCCTCACTTAAGAATTGCAATCTCACCAGACCCAGGATGTAATTAAGGAGGATTTTTTTTATTTCAACACATTAACTCCATGTGGAGAACATTCAATTAGTTCTGTTTTTTCTTCTGGTTTGGAGTTGGGCTGGAAATGAAATTCATAGACACCCTGTGTTTTCTGTCTAAACACACTTCTGGCCGTGGCTGGAGATGAGTGTTTGTTATGTGTCTTGAACCTTTTGTTCAAACCTGAAATCATTCATAAAGAGCTTCCTGTAACCATGGGTATGCAGGGGTGGGGAGTGAATGCCCCAAGGGTAGGGGAAAAGGTTGGAAGAGGAACTTCCTTTCCCCCTCCTCACCCACCCTAATCAAATATTCAAGCATTTTGCATTGCTCTGAAATTTCCTAGTATGTATGTTAAAGCAGGAACTGAAATGCTTATGAAATCTCAGTTCATTGTCTTCCTCAGCCTCAGGTTAGTGGTTTAACAATTGTTGGCTTTGTCTAATTCATAGAATTTGGCATTTTCCACATCAAATTTTTGTGTCAGTGAGAACAGTGGTAGGAAAATAGAGAGGAAGAATCGATAACGGGAATTATTTTATAATACAGTGTATATACAACTCTGGCATAGTATCTGATATGTAAAAAGACACAACCCAGATTTCCACTTGGCTGTTGAGTAGAGTAGTGATTCAATGACCTGGATTGTGCCTTCTTTTTATATCTGTCAATAAAATCTGCTCCTAATAATCTGGAAGGTATCCAGATTGCTTTCCTAGGGTGTACTGCTGAGGCATTGCTTGTAATCTCTGTTTCGTTGCCACTTGCAAGCCTTCCTTGAGCGCGCACAGAAGGAGTGTTGCTCCTCACAGCTGTTGCCCATCATAGAAATGTCTACCATGCAACGGTTATCTTCCTGGGGGACAAACTTGCATGTGGCACCATAGCAGCTACCAATCTGAAGAAAACAAAAGGAAGACATCTTGATGAATGTCATCACCAAAACACATTATGACCTTGCCATCCATCAGGAATGAAATTGTGCTAAACAGTGTGTTGTTGCTTTGTCTCCCCAGAATTCTGCTTTAACTCAGTGGTGTTGAGCTCCTCCCCACCCACCATGCTATTGTCTAAAGCTGCCTCTGTTACTGCCCTCCATTATTCTCCCTGTTACAGCCAAACCCTTTGCTTACCCTCCTCCATTCTCCCCATCACAGCCACGCCCTTTGTGCGCCCTCCTCCACTCTTCCCATTGCAGCCACGCCCATTGCCTTCCAAACTGTAACTTTTAATTTGCCACAAAGCAACAACATCCACCCCAATTAGCCACTGTCACTCATTGACACCGACCATTAGCATGATTACACTTACTGTGCAATCCCCACAAGTCTTCTTGAACATCAATTTCACTCCTCTCCGCTGAGTACGGGGCAGACTCTTGTAAGGTACAACCCAACTGCACAAGCCGAAGCGAAGTTCATTGTTGTAAAAAGAACCTGCAAAGGAGAAAGGTAACCTAGGTTTTAGAAGTCTGCAATTTCAGTTGAAAGGTAAAGTCTATCATTTGCAGTTATTCAAAAAGTAAGTGGCAAAATTATTGTTGAAAAGTATACTTGCTCTAAAGATGGTTATGGAGCTAAACTCCTTGTGAAGTTATTCTTTCTAGCAAGCTGTCATTTCAAGGAAAACAATGAAAGGCCATTTCCAAGGATGTATCTAAAGAGGCACTGCCATTAGAAGTGAGTGCAAGCATTGACACGGCACATACACATGTGCAGTTACTATCATTCATCTGTTCAGTGCATGACATCACGTAGCTCTATTTGCACAAATAAGCTGACTGTACCTTGAAAAAGTACCATTCAAGTGGTGTTGTGAATCTGTACTAAATTTCTACATTAAATTATGACAACTTAAAATCTGAAACAGGCTTTTTCTGCATGCATATTTGCTTGTGTAACATTTTGAAAATACCATATGAAATGAAATTTTTAGAAAATTGAAATCCACCGCCTGCTATTAAAGGGATGTTGAACTCGTGTAAATGTACAGGTGCCTAGGAACATGGAGCATGCCTGTAAATCAAAGGTACAGTTTGCCATGAACTAAAAACAGTGATGATCTAACGATTTCTAACTGCTTGTTGCTACATGTCCACATACCAGCATTGTCTTCTCATGTATTGCCTGCATCTTTTTTGCCATCTGGAATTATTGCCATAAAGTCTTAATGTACATGATTGAGTTCATGTAAACACTGGTCACAAATGCAGGTAGGTATTTGACGAGTAAAAAGTATCCCACATTTATGGCTTCTCAATTCAAGGCTGACCATTTGAGCTTACCAGCAATTATGTAGGAGATATCATTTGTCAACCCTACAAGGCCACAGAGTGACTCATATGGAGCAGTGTAGATCTTGGCCAGAGTTCTCTCCAAGAGATAATTGTCTCCTTTGAAGACCTTCTCCACCTGTGAAACACAAGTTGACATTTAGCAAGACTTCAACAGATTTAATTGTGCTTAACTCTCACCTGTTGGCATTCTTGATTTTGTACCACAACATGAGGTTCCCCAAATCTAACAATTACATAAGTTTTGTAATCTGACCAGTTTGCGTGTACCCCCATTTGTTTTGTTTTTTTTAATTAAAAGCAGTCAGTCAACAAAGGCATTTGAATTGTTATGAACACCATGTTACTGATAGGCAAACACCTTGTTCACATTCCAATTGCACAGAACAATTGTAAGAAAATGAAAAAGAACTTAGATGAACAAACCAGCATCATATTTCTTTGTGTTTTAGTCATCATAAGTTCTTGTAAAAGTCCAGTCACAAGTAAAGTTGAGTCCAAAGCAATGGAGTGACATTTTAGTAGCTTGTGACTTGGTGACTTGTTAAGGACTTGAAGAGACTTGTAGGAACAGTGACGAAGGACCCGTTTTATCACAATTCATTTTAATAGCTTGTGATTTGACTTGCACATTGATGGCTTGTGAATGACTAGAGTGGGACTCAGTTACAGAGCATTATTTGATGGCAATTTGGTTTCTCGTCTGAAAGCATTGTTGTGTGATTTACCTTGATGGTGTACTCCAACTTGATTGGCCTGTTGTCTTCCCTGGTACTCGGAGGGAAATCATTCATTGCTATGGGGGCCAGCAAGCCTGCTGGTGGCCTGTTCTGCAGCTCTGCCAGTGGCCTGTTCTGCAGCTCTGCCGGTCCCTGCACCTCAGTTAAATTACCTTCCTCGTCAAGTACAGAGGAGGAATACTCTGATGACGATTCTGGTGCGGGTTCTGTCACCGGCTGTGGTGTGGGTTTGTAGATGTACTGCCTGCTGACAACGCTTGCCTTGACCACTGCAGAACAGAAGTTTAAAAAAGGACAGAAATATATATTTATACTTGTTTTGCAGATTTCCTATTCCTTATGCTTAGATCTGATGTACTTGCAGAAATTGTGGGAGTGATTGTTGTCCAGTTGCCACGGGTAACAAAAGTCTGTCTGGGCATGGATTGGCGGTTAGTGTGGGCAGTGTTCCCAGCTCTATGGTGTGGGTAACCAGATCAACCAATCCTGGCCATCTACATGTAGCTCTGCTCTTTGTAAACATCAATATCTGTTGGCAGTTTTGGTTCTTCAAGTGAAGAGTGAGGAAGAATTTCTAATAGAAAAAAGCTGCCCAGTTAAATCACAAAAGTTTAAGCCAATCTTCCACTTTGTTGAAATGTATCTCTTTGCTATTATTATGTCACAAGAGGAAATTTTTCCGAGGCAAACTTTCATCCAATAGATCATGAAAGTTCCTTGACAGAAAGAATGCTTTGAAACTGTGGTCCATTTCATTTCTAATGGGGATGGGGGATTTGATTTAGTGCACCACGGGGCTGTAGCTGTACTATGAAAGTTACATGTACATGGTTCATTCTAATACATTTACACTGACTGTCTTACATATCATTGTCACCTCCCTCTGTGAGTTACATGCTTGAATGCATCTTGTGGTCAGTAACTAATTACTTCTTATCATGATGTGCTGATGATGCTTCTGGTCTGACAGTTGAAGGCCAGAAGTCCTCAGTGAAAGGTCAAGCATGATCATTGTAATGTATCCTTCATGCTTGAAGTTGTTTTTACTGTGCAGGATTAATGAAGATCTCTTCATTCCACTGGCTTTCAAAGGTTGCCTCCTTTCAAAACATGTTTTAAAGAAGGATGACTAATCATGATGTATTTCTATTAACTTCTAAACTAGTTTGTTGCTGGCTGCATGGGCAGTATCAACAGAAGATGTTCCGCAATTCCTTGTAGAACCATGATTGGAGATTTCATCTTCATTTCAGTAGAAATTTAGGGGTTGACAAACTCCTCTTAAATCTGAGGAAATATCTGCTCATTACTGAACTAGTCAGTTGCCAGCTTCAGGAGCAGTTTTGAACAGAGATCATGCTCCCCCCTTGTGAAACAATAAGGGATTTCATAAGCTTTGGGAAACTTAGTTTTCAAATATCTATAGAAAAGAAGTATTCTGCCCTTCTGTTAATTTGATCTTTCACTCATTAAATTTTAACCTGCCTTCTGTTTAAATCACAGAGGATTGCCTCTATTTTCTTCATTGGTACTTTTTTCAAAGTCTAAATTTGAACTACAACAAACGTTTGGTGAGGTAAGTTGTGATGTTCACTTCATCAGTGGCTAAAAATACACATGCCCTTTGAATTTCAGAATGTGCAATACAAAGTGAAGGGGTAGCTGTTTCTTGTCAGCCATGTCCTTGGTCCAAGTGCATTGACATGCCTACCCACCCTCAGGATCAGCACCAGGGGCAGTGAGAAGTAAACGAACTCTGTTAAAAGGTCCTTCAGGTTCACATTCCACCACATATAGGAACTGTTGATGTACGTGTACGTACACACTTGCAAGAGACTGCGATGACTATGAGTCAGGATGAAGGGCTAAACTGTTGTGCAGATGTTTTTTTATTTCGTTCCAGCATATATACAGCTTACCAGTTCCGTCCGCAAGTGCAAATAGTCCAAGCTTTGAGCAGGGTCAAGCGAGATTGGGTGAACTCCCACAACTATTTTCATAGCCCACTCGGTGAACATGAAAACACCACAGAGCAAAACGTTGACATTGTTTAGTGAAAAGCTGTTGATAACATGGTGATAGGATCTTGTTAACAGGGACATTGTTGCATGAAGTGTAAATCCTTAAGCTGGAAGCAACAGCATGTTGTTTTAAGGAAGTTGGTTTTATAGAGCAGAAAAAAAAGTGTCTGTCTTCAAACAATGGCAAAGTGCTAATACTAGCTTTGTCAGCCAGTGACTCATTTCAGTGTGCTCAAGGAAAGTTAGAAACAGGAAATACAAAATTATAGCAAATTGAACAATTTGCATGAAAAACAATTTCAGACAATTGTTAAAAGCATTTGTGATTGCAACCAACACCAGGATGTTTTATTGTTCTGAAGGTCATAACTTGCTAACTTTTAGTGATTCTCTTTGTTAATACCAAAGGACCATTCAAATTGGAAACAGTTCTAGGTCAATGTTGGGGCAGTTGTAATTAAAAATGTTGTAATTAGTAGAGTCAAAAATCATTTTTTCATTACATTTACTTCATGTGTCATAAATAGAGAGATTTAACTTTGTAGTCTATAAATTGTTGTGAAAGCAAATATTTTGACAAACCTTCAAATGCTTTTTGGGGTTAAAGATTAACAATGCAGCAGTGCTATATGTGGTTTTTGGTACTAGTAATAGATGGCCTGATTGCATCATCGTCATTGCTTCGTCTGATCAGACGCCCTTTTATCTTCATTTCCTAGTTCATTTCCTTCCTCTGGATTATCCCTTATCAGATGTTCTAGACACTTTCCTGGCTGGATTTAAGTGGTTAGCAGCCTTTAATTTTTTTTTCAGAAGACCACACTGCTTACGTCTGTAAATGTTAACGTAAGCACAAAGACAACAATTCCACATTTTTCATAATATATATACTCATCACTAAGTCTTTCTGAAATACTAAGACATATTTAAACACCTATTCTTATCTTTGGAAGTTTGTTTAGTTTAGTTCCTAAAGAGGCGTTGTTTCCTATTTCAATCAGAGATCATTCGTTTTTAATATACCAAGATTTGCTTATTTCAGCAAAAAACTTCCGTGATTTTTTGGAGCCACAATCCTGGACAAAATAGTTGGAACACCTCGTGGGAAGCACGGTGAAAAGATACCCCCTCTCCCCTGTTCAATAATGTGGTCATTTATTGGACCGAGATTGGGCCCAACTTTACCCAATGAGAAACAACATTGACAGAGGGCGACGGGGAGGCAAGTTCCAATGAGATTTGTCCAGGATTGTCTCTAAGAAGTCCGCCTAATCCTAATAGGGAGTGCAAACATCCCGCTCTTAAAAAATGCTGCACACAAGCGCGATATTAAACTGCAATGGTACACCACCTCAATTGAAAAAAGGAGAGTCACATCCTTTTTTTTTTTCACCATTGCAATATTTCATCTGAAACCCAACCAGAAAGTGAAAAGAGCTCAGACAGAATTGTGTACTCCTTATGTAACCATATAGCCCTTCAGAGCGAATAAAAGACTTCATTTGGTGCACCGTTCACGATGCTCCCAACTTATCCCATTTTCAGTGGCCAACTTAACTCTTGTTGCTGATACAGTGAGCAGCAATCCAATCCTCGCAAATTTACTATGAACCCTTCCACTGAAACAAATCCCGTACCAATGGGTGATCCTAAACCATAGCTATTGTATCATGAAATAATAAATAACTGTGTATTTACATATACATCTACTTTCGGGGGGGGGGGTATTATGCTCCTAACAGGGCATACTACCACACCTTGCCTATAATAGTCATTATTTATTTCATTCCATAACCATCTAATACTTACAGCATCACACAGCAGCGCCCAAAACAGCAATGTGGCAAATCCCCCCCCCACCCTCGATCCCGCGTAACACAGACCCACGGCCACGCTCATGATACTCACTTTCCACTGAGAAACTCAGACAATCCTGGACAAAAATAGTTGGGACACCTTGTGGGAAGCATGGTAAAAAGATCCCCCTCTACCCTGTTCAATGTTGCGTTCATTAATTGGACTAAGATTGAGTCCAACTTACCCAATGAGAAACAACATTTACAGGGGGCGAGGGGAGACATGTTCCAACGAGATTTGTCCAGGATTGTAGCTTTGAACTGTGTATCTCAAAAATTGCTTTCTATCACCAGTCTGGTAAATTGCTTCCTTACAGAAGTTACAGGGATATCTAAAGTCAGCAAACACTTTCTCTCAAGCCAAAATACCTGAAAGATTGTCATTCAAAATGTTAGAGTTAAGTTGTTGCACTTCACAGTTTTGCCTCTCTCAGAAGGTGAGATGTGAATGAGAAAACACCAAATGACTCCTCATGAGTAGAGTTGAAGCTTACCAAACTCCGATCTGCAAAACTGGTCTTGAGGGTGGTTACGCTGACAACTGCATGCATGGCTCCCTGTCATGCATGTAAACAAGACACCAACCAAAACAGCAACACACAAGGCCCTCATGGTGCGAAGCAAGGCTTGTCGACTTCGGGTCCAACTTCTAGTGCCAAATCACGCTTCGCTGGACTCTTTGACTCAGCTTCTAGTACTAGTAGTAAGTTGAGTGGAGCTGTTGGAAGTCTGAGTGTCAGGGGCTGTCACACTGTAGAACACTGACTCCCACGAAAAACCCAGTGCCCCTTTATACCTTCCTGCTTCCTTGGCTGTTCCATTGAGTTGTGTTACTCCCTGGCCAAGTTCTGGAAACATCCCTGTGAACGTAAGATGAGACAGTGCTGTTCATGCAAAACAGACACCTTTGTTGCTGTTGTCAATTTATAAACAGGAAACCACAGGTGTGCATTTACTGACATTCATGAAAGTTTTCTATTACATTGGGAGCAACTGACTCCATTTCCCAGAAAACTTGCATCAGTTGTTTACAAAAATGTTATGACAACGGGTTTTGAAGAATAAGTGAGTGAAATTATTTCTAGTTTACTTACATGGCTTGGATCTATCAAGTACCATAGAAATTGTGATTTCATACTGTGAAATCTTGAGAACATAACAAAGTTGATGGTGCCACTTCAAAAGCTTGGACTCATTCCAAATTTGATACAAGTTTGCCAACAAAGTGGAAGTGTTAATTGTTCCAATCTTCAGTGAAGTAAACCTTTCTATTCACTTTAAAGTCCAAACTGTGAGTTACCATTTAAGTCCCATTTGGAATATTTTGTGTCTGACAGTGTGAAAAAGCCCAAATATGATTGGAATGTCAACATAAAAGGTAAAAATTGACCCCCTCATACTTTGTCTGGACTGCTGGCTGTCGTACAGTGACCTTGCTTATACTGTACATACAGCACACATTTCATCCATATCCGACATGCTCTTGAAAGCACTGTTCGTCAACGGAAGTATCACCAAATAAAGGAAATCTTTTTTTCTGATGAATTGGGTGCTATTAAATTTCATTTTATTTCCGGAATCGAGAAAGGATGGAATACGTGTACCAGTTTTCCAATGGAAGTGGACTCTGACATCCTCGCTGACATTGACATGAAATGAGGGTAACTTTAGTAATAGGTTCATAGCCCAATTGTATTTAGACCTAATGATGAACATTTTTTCACAGTGGTCGTGGTAAATGTGGTTTTGATGCAGTCAATTTTAAGTGTGTGATGACTGATTATAGCTTTTCGGCTAAGTGGTTTTTACAGATTTAGGTTTCACTCATTTGTGAGCCTTCTGGTGACAGACAAATGTTTAATAAAGAGAAGTTTGGATTCTTGTCTCACTCATGCAGACCCATTGGATTATGTAATGTTGGCAAAACAAATGAGATCCAGGCAGTGCTTGTCTTATTTTCATGTGGAACTTTTCAATAAGAGATTGTAGGTGAAATGTTCCTCAGTAAGTAGAAGGGTTCAGTTTCCAGATTTCATGCAAATCCTGAATAAAATGTAATCAAGGGGTAAATTCCGGAGTGTTTTTAATTGGAACTCTTTTCACAGTGTTTGCTGTGGTAGGGAAAAGGATTACAATAGCCAAATGTGACCCAAAATGGAAGTTTTGTTTTCACATTTTCACCAAATTGAGTAAAACAGGTATTGGGATTTGGAATCCCCTTCATTTTATCACCAAGGGCAAACATTCTGCCTGGTTTGTCCAGGCTAAAAATCAATTTTCAATTTTTTTTTCTTTCTTGAAATGGAAACGCAGTTTCCATTTCTTTCCAGAGGGAGATGTCAATGAGGAGAATGGCTAGTTTTGTGCTATTTATATCTTCCTGGATCTTTTAAGTCCTTCTGGAGGGATCATGCATCAATACATTGCTGGCATTTGTGGTCAGACACACCAGGACTTGGTTTGACCTTGGAAGTCGTACTTCTGGGCCTGATTCTTGGTAAACCTACCAATGTGGGTATCCTTCATGTTTGGGTGACATGAGAGTGTCTGCCAGGACAAATTACCTGGACCAGGTGACTTGGGTAAGGTGCCGCCAGGTAGGGGCAGAGTCTTTGTTAACATTCCTTTTGGATGAGGGTCTATTTGGAAATGCCCAATCCCTCATTTCACTGACTGGATTCTGTACTGGAACTCTCTATTTTCTAGCTATTTTCTTAGCAAGAGTAAAGGGCCGAGCAGAAAATACTGAGTGATACTAATCAACATGCAGAGTTCATTTGTGAACTATAAAGACAGGTCATAGACTTTTCATAGATTCAAATAACTTTAGGACAACAGGAACTTGCCGCTCTTTCAAAATGGAATGAAATAAGTTTGTGCATCTACGTACAGATTAGATTCTAAAGACTTGCTGTGATATGAGTTTGATGCATGACCACCAATGCATGGTGATGTGATTATCACTTTGACGTACTTTGACAAGATTTTGAGCTTCATCTGTCTTGAAAGGCTATAACAAGAAGCTGAAGATGTTTGAAAATGTCAAATGTTTGAGATTGTCAGTCTGGAAATAAGTGATTTCTTTCAAAATAAGTAGGAAGCAATTATATCCAAATTAAAATTGTCTTTTTCCCCATGTAAGTAAGAGTGATTCATGGATATGTTGCACTGTCATTGTGGGTGTCATTTGGTTAATGTCAGCTTTGTAACTGGCCAGAATTTGTTGTACATAAACAAAAATTTAAATACTCATTGTGACTCTGCATTTTCATAAATTAGGAAACTGTTTTAATTCAAATGATTAATGTCACTTGGAACAGTGTTATAAGATAGAGCACTAAGGTTTGCTTTCAGAGAACTTTGTTTCTTGCTTGATGCGTCCTACATGTAACACAACGGCATCTGGCAGTGCACAACCTCCATGTTCCTACCACCTGCCTCAACCCGACAACAGGGTAATCCTGGATTCAACCCACAACCTCCTGCATAGTGGAACTTGTCAAGCAGCCTCCACCACAGAACCTACAAAAACCACCGATTACAAAATTGCCTCGCCAGATTTGCATATTGCAAGATCAGTTCCATTTTGTGTGAAAATATTATAGTTTTGTATTGTTCCTTGTTATGATGGGTACAAAATTTCAAAGCTGTAGACATTTTGGCTCTCCTCCATTATGTGAAATCTGCTCTCCTGTTTTCCAGTGATTAAAGGCCTTTGAGTCCCAAGCATTTTCATACTTAAAAGCTTGATGACTATTTCTCACCAAATATCCCACAAAGCCATATATATTGGTGAAAGGGCAAAATGTAATTAAAAGCCAGACAAATTGAAACCCACTGTTTGATATATGATATCTTTAGCCAAGCCATGCTGTCTCCCGCGGTTACATCGTCTGTACTTATAGCTTGGCCTACATACGGTCACGTTCAATTTAAACGGGCATGCCTGGCACCGGAACCTTTCTTTTCACCTCTGAGGACACACTGCGTAGGTGATGCAGGCTGGTACCTTGTAGCTACATGCAGCTCCACATCTGTCAGAAATAACTTATAGGGCCTATGTTTCTACCCTGACCAATGAGGTTGTGGTAAATTCAGTCCTTGACCTTTGAAGTCTTGGGCATGATTGCCCAACCAAAAGCCTCACTAGTTCTAAATCAGTATTTGAGGAAATAATTATAATGGAAATCCATGACCATCAAAAAACGTCAGCCTTATTCAGTAGGAGGTCCATCTGTAAAAATCATTCACTGGAGTCAATGGTATCCTCTTTTGTGGACTTTCTCGTTTTTTCCCCCTGAACATATGTTCAGCAAAAAAGTCAGAGGACTGTTCACAGAGTGATCAGAGTGAATGTTAAGTGAGTGAGAGTATTAATTTTATTTCAATTTCCAAGAAAACTACATTGTAGTACACCGTCACAGTGTCATTCAATATGACATTGTTTTAAATAGTTATTCTGATAACATATTGTATGTGATTACGATAAAAAGTTCTTCGGTTACTTTGGGAAGAGTTTGTAAAAGTTTGTATAAATTTGAAAACTAATGTCTATACATCAATGATGTTTTCTTTTTTATGTTAACTCAGTCAAGTCAGTATCTGTTTTCTTCTATAAGAATGACAGAATTTTGAATATAAACATTAAAGTGCCTACATTTGTGGTTGGCCTGACCCCACTAAAGGTAGTTATTAGTGGCTATGAATAGTTTCTGTTGTTTACTACATTAAAGATACATTCTGTACACTCATCACCTTTCATAATGACAATAATCTTGTGTAAATTTTGGATTTGGACTGCGTTTTCACGAAGAACGAAACATAATTTTGATGATTTTTTTTTTTGCTTAAAAAAATTGGGGGGGGGGAGAGGGTATGGTAACATGGGTGTGTTGGGAGTTTTTCACAGATACCTCCCTTGTGGAAGCAGCCCTAGCGTGGTTAGGGATTGTATTTAAACAAAATAAACACTGATGGTCTGAATAGGAGCAATTCACAATACAGTGCACTCCAGTGTTTATCCACAAAAAGGTCTTTTTCAAGATCAAGGGTCAACATCGGTAACTATGCAATGCTTCAGCAGCTCCAACTCTTCAAAGAAAGCAGACATCCAGCAAGTAAGATAGACCCAAGTTGAAGGACAGAAACAAGTTTTGAATGATCACATGAACCTGTGTAGTAACGAGAAGAGGGAAGTTCCAGGATTTGGTTGTGAAAGCAGGGACACGATACAATGATTTTACAACTATATATGGTCACTGTGTTGACCTTTTCTTACAATGTATGCACTTCTGCTGTTTTGGACCTCTATAAGGCTCTAATGGTAGTTTAGAGGTATTGGAATCACTCCAATTCAGAATATGTCTTCACAGTGGACTTGCCTGAGAATGGAGGCCAATAAAACAACAATACATGAGATTAGGATTTCAGAAAAATGGTCTGAATATGCCTTGTGAACAGGCATCATTTCCAGAAGAAGTATTCCACATGTGGGTCACATATGTCCAAACAAAATAACTTCAACACTTCCAGTTCATTCTTGGTCGATGCATGCATTGAAGGTAGGACTCGTCTTCCAGCTGCACTTTCCAGCTGATTTGGCCCTGCAGTAACCATGGCGATAGTAACAGTCTTTATTGGTTTGGTGGTTACCATGGATACAGGTGATGTTAGATGTGGTCGAAGGACAGTGACCATAGGGGCGACAAGTGTAAATCTGTGAATAAAGAAACAAGTCAACCATTACAGTTTCTTATAAAAGGACAGAGAGAGTGTAGAAAAACCTTCTGTTTTTACACCAGTAAACTTTATTTTTGTAGACTTTAAACATGAGATGTATCATTCCAAATTTGACCCAAAAGTATGCAGCAGTGCAGGATTTTGGACTACCGGTATCTTCCTAATGTCAAAAACGTCATTTCATACCACAGTCGGCCATTTTTTACTGCCAGCTTCTGATCTCAAGAGAGGGCACTTTACCTGGCATTGTGGTTCACAGCCCCTGCTGTAGGCTCCATTTATGCCTCGCCGCTGCATATCGGTTAGCTCCGAGTAGGTGCGATGGAAGTTACAATACAAAAGGGAAGCTTTGCCTTTCACTAGTGTCACTGTCAGGTAAAAAAAAATAAGATTAGGGTTAAGGAAAGAATGTTGTTTTTGGAGGGGAAAATAAACAGAAAAGATTGAGATCCTTTCTCCCTATTCAAAAGTTCCTCATTCTGTGTTACATAGAGGGGGGATCATACCAGTGAGTACATAGCGCTGGCCAACTTCAAGCCATGGTACTCCACAGGACACTGTTGTCGCTGATGTGTTGACAATGAGTTCATTATCTTGAACGTTCCACAGCTGCCCGGCATATCTTTGTCCCTTCTTGACGTTACTGATTTGAATCTTGTAGCTTATGATGGTCGGTTCATCGGGCAGAATGGCTGGATGAGGGGGTCCATGTAAGGACTGCTTGGTTTGAATCGTACCTACGATCACTGGAATGAAAAGAGACAAATTAGAAGCTGATGTGGATAGTAGTTGACGAAAAGATTAGATTAAAAATGTTTTCATCCGTAATCCATATCCATCCACATCCATATCCATCGATATCCATAATAAGACAGGCCAAAGGTTGTCATCGCATTGCTGTGCTTTAGAAAAAAAGTAAGGAGGGCCTAGATTAAAATTTAAGAAAAAGTAAGAAACTATGGCTGCATCGGAATCTGTTGTCTAGAGCTAGGTCTGGGTCTTCGCTCCATTCGCAATGGGTGGAGACGCGTAGGCAATAGACCTAGCCGTAGCTCTGGAAGCCCGTTTCGGACACGGCCTATGTTAGAGGACTAATCCGACTTACCCAAGTCAGCATCACAGAACTGTTTCTGTGGATGGGATAGCTGGCACAAACAACTCAACACTGATGGACACAGCTCAACAATCAATGCCAACGCCAGTAAAGGCACAGGAATTAAATTGGATGAACGCGTCATACTGGCCTCTTAGACGATGTAAAACTGCAATCAATTCAAATATTCAGCTCATCTGCATCAAAACCAGTGCACTGTTAAAATCAAGTTCTCAGCCAACTCTGTTGATACCACTGACTAAGGTTGGCTGTTCACAGTCTCTTTTATATGCTTTTGACTGAAAGTGAAACCGTAATTGAAAATCTGAAAGTTCCGGGTTGATATAAGTCATCTGAATGAAATCCTAAACTCCTGGAACTCGTTGCAAGGTTTCTCTGGTTGATGTGTTTACATTAAGTTCCTTCTACTCTTTTTCTTTTCCCTGAGGAATTTTTTTCATGCTTCACATACGACCCTGTTTAAAGGTCTTGGTGTGTCACTGAGTAATGTTACTCAATCCTTTGGGACCATATAGTGGGGGAGGAATTGCAAAGCAGCTAGACAGCACCACGGCCATGAATTGACGAAGAAAACTTAATTACTTTATCTGCAATGTTTTCACAGTATGAAACAGCTCTGCTATTTAATTAAATAACAGATTGAAAATTGAGTTACTCAAGCATGAATGGATTCATTTCATGTAAAACAGCTTTTGGCCTTAATTTGTATGAAGACAGATGGTGGTTGCCAAAAACAAGAATGTTTCCAGGAACTTAAGGTTGTTTTCTGATTGATACCTTTGTTTTTGGCGCGGAGCCTGCTTTCAGCCACTGGAGGTTTCATCTACTCCTTGTCTTGTTACAGTTTCAAGTTTTATGTGGTTTTGGACCATCTGCATTTTATGACATCAAGGATTTATTTTCCTTACCCAGAATCCTGATTTATTACTGTGAACCTTTTATTGTTTAGGTCAGGGAGGATTCCCTCTTTGATGTTTTGGGTTGAGTGGCCTGGTTCTCTGACATCTTGAGAGGTTGGAAGGTGTAGGCCTACATGCTTTGTAGCCTGGACAGAAAATATTGTACCCAACTTTAATTTGGCTGTCATTGATAGCGATGCAAGGATTTCATTAGAGTTACTGCTTTTAGTGCATAGTCTGTTGACTCGCATTCTTCTGAAGAACATACCAGTGAGGGCAAGATAGATTAGGAGAAATTATTAGCCACCCCAGAGCCACACTTACAGTGCCCACTAATAAACTGAACCGCTTGTCTGGGAACTTTGATTTTAACCTCAGTGGTGTGTTTCAATATCCTTTTGCTCATGTTTTTTTTTAAATTTTGGGTCATCGCTAATTCTAACGATTTGTACTAGAGGCCTACTGTGTTTCAGTCTGCATGAAGAAGCTCCCAAGGTTTGTTAATGAACAATGGATCATATCAAAGCCTATCACGGCCTGATCCTTGCCTAGTTGTATGGTCTGATCTGTTCTGACGCTATCACCCATTGATGCTGATTACTCCCAACAGGATCTTGTGGTTTTTTTCCATAGTCCTGTGGTTTTTGCGGTTTTGTGCCTGGGGGTCAAATAGGAGACCAATATTTCCCTAAATCTCTGCAAGAGATGAATCCTTGAATGTTTTTTCTTACGAATTGAAAAGTTAGTCGATTTCTGGGAAGTTGAATTGAAGAGGATAATTACTGAAATAATTATAAAATTGTTTCAGTACTTTTTTGAAGTATATTTGCTTAAAATAGTACATATATACAAAAATACTTACTGGCTTTCCAGCCCCCCAAAAAAGAAAAAGCGATGTGATACACCAAATAAGTGGCAACATCTTTCATATTCTTCTTTGGCATCATTGCTAGGTCTGAACACAGACGAATGTATGAAAAAGCAGGCATTGTTAAAGTTCCCAGTCTTATTTGATCAAGCACATGCACAACTAGCAGGTTTTTACCCTGCCTGATACTCATAAGATCAGGGTGTGTACTTGTGGGTCAGACTTTTCCAAAGGCAATTATTCAGTCTTTTTCTGCTATTCATTGGAGAATACTTTGTGAATGACGTCACTGTTTTGGTAAACAAATACATTCAACTTGTAGAAAACTTTTCTGAAGTACTTTAGTAAGAATTCTTCTGAGATCATGGTTTCCAGGTAGCCAGGATGTAACTTGCCTTGACTCAGTCTGCTGTTAATCTTTCAAGTGACTTGGAAACTCAAGTCTGCCTGTTTAACTCTCTTCTTTTCAATTCAGGGTGGTTTTTGTGAATTCTTGGTAGAGTGGATTTCGATAGTCTGGAAGCTGTGCTGTCATCTTGAAAGCCCCTGTGTAAGCAGGTCATGGGATTAAATAAGCTCAATGCATGTGTTGAAGTCAAATCTCCTCAGAATCATCCTTCCAAAAAGAAAGATTCAACTTGAGTTAAGCTGTTTGGCAGGGCCTCTTCCACTTACTGTGATGTGTGGAGAGATGAGAGGGGATAGAGCTGATTGGATGTCATTGTGATAATCTCAGAATGTCTGGATTTCATGTTTGACAAAGGGGAGCATAAAAAAGTAGAGAAAAGTCGGGACAGTGCACGCATACATTTGAAGGAAATGATACACAAACTCTTCACAGGAAACTGTAAAGTAGCAGTGAAGAGTGCCCCACAAAAAGGACAACTTTTTGAAGAGATGTCAAATATAAGTTATTTTTCTACTCGGTTCACCAAGGTTGGGAGTGTGAATGTGGGGGAGAGGGGTGCAGAGATTCACTTCATTTGCAATTTGGAAATTAGACATGCTACACATTCTGATGAAAGTTACATAACCACATGCATCGTTGATTATTTGAGAAAGCTACAGAGTGTACATATATCAGTTTAGTAAAAATGAACTAACAATTCATTGCATTTTGATTTTAAATCATTTTAAATAATTAAAAAACTTGTTGGTGTTCAAAAGTTCTGTGAAATGGAACCGTAGCAGAATTTAAAGATCCTTGAAGTATTCACTTCGCTCCAAAGGTGCTTGTGGTGAGTTTCAGTTTACGTTGTCTGCTGCCCTCTCTTGCCAACTCGTGATAAATATAAAATTAACTTTCTCTTGTGAAAAATGTTGACACTCACATTTGAAATGGGCAAAGTATGTCGGGAAGGGGGTGTCAAATAGGGTAATCCAATAATAGTGAATGATTATACGTAAGTTGAAAACCGGCATTCTGTCAGAGTGATTGCATTACAGGATATTAATTCCACTTTCTGTTGACATTTAACTTGGGTTTCTGCTGTGGTTGACGAGTAAGGCCATGAGGGCCGTTCGTTTCAAAATGAAGCCTCACAGTCAAATGCTGAGATTAGCTGTTAAAAACCATGTGGTCAGTGTGGACAATTTTGAAAGTAGGGTAACCATTTGGAAAGTGTTGATACATAAATCATTCTGCCCTATGAATCAATAAAACATTCCAAAGAATTCTTGTTTCTTGTAGACTTGCATGTAGGAATAAAATGAAATGAATATCATGTTTATGCTAATATTTCTGTTCACTTTTGTAATAAAATGTAACTAAAATCACAGCAATATCATCAAGTAAATACTACCAATTTAAACCAATCAAAAGAAAAGTGTAACATAAATGAATATATTTTACATAATGGTTTTGTAAATTCCAGTACTTTCAATTTTCAGTGTACCATTTACGGTGTTTTCATGGTTGGTACAGTTGTTTTTCAAACTCTTTATTTGGCTTTATTCACCTGCGTGCAATGATTAATGAAAAGCAGTGATAAGATATGTTTTTGGCTGTGGCTACAGCCCACTGGCAAACTACTTTCAGCCAAAGCTGTAGATATACAGAGAGACACCCAAGGCTGATCACACATCTCCACCTACACAATACATCCTGCCTCACATTAATACCGGAACCCCATCTGGCGTCTAATTTCGACGACTTTGTCTCCGGCAACTTTTCATGTCTCCACTTGTTGTCCAGACGCACTTGTCTGCCTTCCTCCCCTTGGAGTAGCATCTGGAGTGCCTGGCGAGACAGTCGTTATCACGGTAGCCGATCTCATGCCTCATGTCGTCCTCCTCCTCGTGTGGTGGGAGATAGGCACAGGTGGAAGGAGGAAGAGTACCAGTACATTCTGGGTCGTGGCAGGTCATGATCTGAAAACGAAGTTTCTGTACTGCATTTTTGGATAAATATTTCAGTTTAATAAAGCCTATTTGCCCCATCAATTCAAAACTTCCAATTTCCAGTTAACAGTTATATCACTGAGACCTCTGTGGAAGCTTATTTTAAGACCTGTTTTTGTTGTCAGGTCTTAAACTTGAAGACTTAAGTGATTGTACTCTTCATTTCCCTCACCTGACATTTACTACAGGACTGACCATAATTGTTTTTAAGGCCTCGCTTCTGTAGTTTAGAGACATGACGGTATTCCTGAACCCAGTCACACAAGTTGACCTGTCCTGCTACCACACCTGGAAAAAGAACAAGCAGTAGAAAAACTCGGCAGTCTTGGAAAACAACAACATTCGTTTGACTAAATGTTCAATACATATGGACCCATAATGTAAGATGGATATGGTTGAAAGCACTCAGTGGTTGCAAACTTTGCTTGTAAGTCTTGCAGATAGTTACTTTAGATATTTGAAATCAAATGACATAAAGCTACAAAAACAAAAGATTTTAAGTCTTATTAAAAATGTTCTATTCAAACCAAGTGACAAAAAGAAAGAATGAGTTAAAATGCAAATTTTAATTAATTACTTACATGATTATTTTTATAATTCATGTTATATTTAACAATTTTTAGATAATTTTTATTATAAGCACCATAAATGCAATGAATTTCTCTTAAGAAAATAGGACATCATCATATGAAATGTTTTCTTAACCCTAACCCTCCTCAATCCTTCACCTGTTGGAGGATTGAGGAGGGTTAGGGTTAAGGAAGAATACATGGCAATAACTTTGTAAAGAACATTTGAAGGCAACTTCGCTGTAGACCCAGTGGAATAGCTTAGCATGTTCAGTGACAATACCAGAGCTGCAGAATGATATAGCGCCCTCTGTGACACCACTTGCAAACCTGTGTGTTGCACGCCCCATCAGTTGTCATTGTATGTAGACACAGAAGGTAGCGAGGCATCATCAACAGGGAGATGGAAGGGGGAAACTAACCAAACCAGGCACAGTTTGAACAGTTTGAAAAATGTTTTTGATCAATAATATTAATAATTTGTAAAAAAAACTTTGCTAAAAAATTTCTACGAATTATATTTTCAGAAATTGCCCATTTTCCCAAAATATATGTTCCATTACAAACTGCACCCCTCTTCGTACTGAAGAGAGAAAAAAAATTTAATTTGAAATCTGATGACCAGCAGTGTACCACATCTTCCAAAACTTAAACATGGATGTGTTGAAGTAAAACGTGTGTTGATATTTAACACATGAAATAGGAAGTCTAAGCTACTGAATACCAACAAGGAGATGGGAATTCCAACTCTCTGCAGCCTAGCTTACTAGCCCAGGATATCAACCTTGACAGCTTTACGGTTCTAATAAGACTCTCCACAGCCTGGTTTACTGACCAGGAAACGTGATTTCAGTGGTGATTGTGGTTCTAAAACCGAGACCTAATTGCCAGCTGAGAGATTGTCCATTGTGCTTCGTTATGCCTGCAACCATTGATAGGCTTACCAGCCAGGAGATAGGATTTTCCTGCTCTGAGCTCCACACCACAGTATCCCCTTCCAGGGTAGGGAGTCTTCAGCTCCATCTCCTCGCCTTCGATCAGTGATGATCTTGCCACATTCTTGTACATATGCTGTATTTTGATAATATAGACAATCTCGTAGTTCCAAGGTTCCTGGTTGACAATGCGGTTTCTCAGGAGACGTTTTTCCCTTCTGCTTGCTCGTTGATCGTCTTGTCTATGAGCAGGCATTGCTTTGTTAAAAAAGAGTTACGTGGACCAGTTCTTGAGTTTGGTTTGTTTTGTCCTAAGAAATGTTTTATTAAAATTGACCGAGACAGCAACAGACTTTCGTTATTTTTTTGACAGAAAGTTTCACATACATGTATCTGCATCAGGGTGTTTGTGTGAAGGTCATTTGCAAACAGTGGGTATTTACTGTTTATTGAAGTTCAGGGTTCCCGAAGCCTGAAAAAGTCATTGAAATTTGTTTTTGTTTTCCAGATCTGGAAAAGTCATGGAATTATGTAAAAATAACTAGTCATGGAATTTTTCAAGCACTGTGTGTGACTTCTATTATTAGGAAATAAGTGTATAAAATGTGTGATTTTATTTGCAACTTTAAAAGTGTTAAAAGTCCAAGAAATTGCATTATTGAGTCATAGATTTTAATAATTTGGTCATGGGAAAGTCATGGAAAAGAATTTAATTGTCCTTGACAATGCAGGAACCCTGGAAGTTCTTGTTTTTAATATTTAAGTTTCGGGGGGTGGGGAAGGAGCAGAAGAATATCTTGTTGAATCAGTTTGACTGTAAAATAGTACACCATCAACGTTTTAGTGTGTGTATTTCCATATTAAAATGAATGTAGTCATAATATACCTTCGTGGTCTTGGCCATGGGAAGACGGGAATGCTGTTGACTTATCGTCATCTTCAGCTGTTGTCTCAACATTTTGTGTACCCTCAGGCCCTTGTGTCGGAGGATTTGTCGTCATGTACGCTGTAAGGTTTGTCTGGGTTTCTGTCACTGTAGTTGGGTCGGTTTGCAAGTCTGGAATGAGCTGCCACTGTATTAAAACCACTCGACCACGGACCACTAAGAAAAGACATAGCTTAAAATTTCAATAGGAAACAATATACTGAGTTCCAAGTAAATCTACAAAATAAAATTTTGTATTTAACCCTAGTGAAAATCCCCCCCCCCAAAAAAAAACAATCCAAAGAGATTGTGCATGGTGTAGATGAGATTCCCCACCCCTCCACAGCTTTTTATAAGAGCTGGCTCTCTTAGGCTGAGACAAGAACAAGGAAGCTTTGTCCAAGAATCGCATTCAGATTCAGGCTTTTATTGTTTAGTAACCTTAACCCTCCTCAGTCCTTCACCTGTTGGAGGACTGAGGAGTGTGAGGGTTAAGTATCAACTTTCTTCACAGCTTAAACATTCATTCTGTTACTTTCATTTTCAAAACAAAATCAATCACTTTTAATTGGACAAGTTAAGTAAATTATGACCAAGATGAGTATCTTCAAATTGATACAATACAGAGTATGGTTTACAAAAAAATTCCTGACTTTTCTTCCCTCGCTGTTGCCATTTTAGAAGCGTTGCTGCCTTGGCATCTCACCCTAGTAACAGTTAAAGATCATGAAGTATTAATAAACACTCCAAATTCTATCCAAACAAAGTTGTGCAAGTTACACTGTACACTGCATCACGGTTCCCTGAAACTGAAGTGAAAGGAGGCGAGACTGTTTATTTATTGAGCCAAAAGTGTTGACAGTTGAAATTTCTGATATTGCAGGGCAGCGTGCTAAAGAGGCACTTTAATCCAGTCATGGGAAATTTTTTTTCTCAATTTTTTTTTCTCAAACCTGATTGATCCCTATCAATTATATAATTATTTTATTTTGATGCTGGTAGAGTGTTATTACAATTCCCAAAGGGGGGGCGAGAAAATTCCTCTTCTTTTTCTCTGATGCCATGGCAGTACAATCTAATTTATTGTCTGGCATTCAGGAGGTTTTATGCTGATTTCTTGCAGTCCTTTTTGATATCAGTTTCATTAACATTTGAATTTTTTTCCCATGGTATGTTAAGTTTTCCACAACAAGTAGGCCAAAAGAGTTTCTTATTCCCATTAACATGCTCATTATACTGGCCAACAAGCCTGAAAGTGTAAATTATGACCATTGCAACAGTATCATTTGTTGTATTGAATTTAATTTTCACAGATAGACTGATAACATATTTCATTATTTGTGTTCCAAGTTTCCAAAAGGTTGGTTGTGGGACAGAGGAAACCTCCCCACCTGCTCTGTTTCATTTCATATAATTTCTTTTCTATTTTGCTGCCTGCATTAAAAGGCATTAGTGCAAGAATGATCTGCACGCTAACCAACTTGTGCGCGTACTCCATTCATTTGCACTGCACTCTCTTGTTCAAACTGACGTCACGCTTCGGTACTCTATATGTTCTGACTTTGAAACTGTCGACATTTAAACTTTGATCACTCGAGAAGTCGGGTGAGTTTTAGCCCAGTTTTCTTGCACGTAGGCCTATTCAAGTTCGTGTTCAGACAACTTAAAGGAGAGCTATACAAGGGCGCATTTAAACCTTCACAAAGATGATATAGAGAATAACTTGAAACTCCTGAGAAAGTTCTTACCGTAATTTGCTGTACAGTAGTGCTGCTGTGGATGGGTTCTGGTGCAGTTGCAACTGGAAACACCCTCTGCAGTTTGGAGAGATGCAGTTGTTACAACTGCCACTAGTATCATGACACCAAAGCTGAACATCTTTAGTTCCTGTGAACTTAAAATTGCTTCTGCGGCGGTTGGTTGTTTCTTTGTACTTGAAGTCAATCACTCTGAGGTGAAACAACTTATACAAAAAAAGCAGTTTTCCTGGATTCTAGAAGTTGTTGTGACCCTGTTTCAGTGAAGTCTCTGATGAAGTAGATCTTGATTTTACTGAAGAAATTCTTGAAGAAAGGAAGTTTGTTGTGTTGGCAAACTTTTCACCACAGAATGCACATTGGACATGTGTCAGTTCAATGGTTCAGAAATTCTGTTGAACTTGTTTCTTCACCAGATAAAACTTCACAACTCAGGAAACTGCAGGTAGATTGTCAATCCAAGGACAGTTACACCAATTGGCCCTACTCCCTGTGGGATTAGTTGCCATGGAGATAGCATGCACTTAGAGAGAAAGCCACTTCCCCTTTTTGTGTATAAGATCACAGCATTTTCTGACCTAAGGTCATATTGCTGAAATCACCTGCAAGTAAGGCACTACCTTACAACAGCCTTAGGACATTCCCACAAGAATAGTGCCAGAAGGGTAACCTTCAGCCCAAATCAACTACATGTAATATCAGTCACCAGCAGTGACATCATTTGTCTCCTTACCAGCTGTATGATTTGTCTCCTTACCAGCTGTATGATATTGTCTCCTTACCAGCTGTACAATATTGTCTCCTCGCTCACATCAATCACTCTGTATATTCCATGTAAATTATTAGTAGTGGAGGTCGTTATGAACTCCATGCATTCAAGAAAGTTAAGTACACCCTTACTCTACCCACTAAACCATGTCTGAAAACTTTTCTTGTTCTTATATATAGGTCAAACTAAAGTCTCTTAGAAAATGCAGTTTGCCAAAATTGTGTATCATGAGCAGTGTGGAAAAGGACTAGAGTATATCTTCATGTCATTACATACGGTCACTGTGTGGGATATTGGGTTGTTGGCGATAGCGGAAGGTCTGTTTCCTCTTGTAGAGTCACTATCACTGTTCATATTGTTCTGAAGGTTGTGCAACTCTTACTGGTGAAATTATTCCTCAAAAGTGCATTCACTTAGGAAAAAGATACCCTGATTGCTGATGTTATCTTAACTTTAGACTTCTCAGTGAGATACATGTACATGTATCAACTATGTTTGTGGTTCATGGTACTCATATTTGCAATGGTCGTTACAGAAGCTTTAATGTTCTTTTAATATATTTAAAAGAGAGTATAACAATTTTTTTTTATACATTTACAAACCAAAGTTCCAATCGAAGTTTCTTTGTCTTTTCACCCCAAACTAATCTTGTGCAAAAGTATGAAAAAATTCATGTAAATTAATAAGAGCATATTGCATTTTTTTTCATTTTTGTGTGTCTCATTCCAATTAAATCAAAGTACAACAAAATCAAAATACCCTGCTTTTTTAATCTTCAGTTTCATCTTTGCTTTTAGATACCCGTTCAAATCAGTTCCTGTGAAGGATATTATTGTCTCTTTCATGGAAGAAATCAGTATAAGAGCCTGTATACACATGCTTCCACCTTTGTCAAATGCTAACTTAAATAACTATTAAAGGTAGTTTAGACATTCCTTGCACGTGCCGTTGAAAATTGGTAACACAGTAATTTCTGAAGGACAAAGTATTTGTTTGAATAAAGATGGTTGAGAGAACAAATTGGACAACCAATTTTTTCAGTAACTTGGAAAATTTAAGTGCAGTTGTTTTCAGAGTTTTTGTCAAAAGTTATGTTTATTGCAGATGTGCAAAGCCGTGCATAAACCGACCTACATTTCAAACTGAACTTTAAATTTGAGGAGTGTCACACTTCACTTAACCTTTATCATTCTCAAGTGTCTTGACTTTGATAAATGCTGGAGTTATTTTTGACAGGGAATATCCCAAGTCCTTATCTATACCTTCAGTGGTTTTTCTTATCTAAATTCTCTATTTAGTGACCTCCGCTCTGCTACAATGTTCGTCTGTCATGCCATCTTTGGACCACATTGATTTCAACTGGCTTTTGGGGAGCTGGGAAGCAAATAGGAGCTTATGTAATACCAATTTCCGTTTTCTGTCCGTCAGTCCGTCAAGGCATTCGCAAATGTTAAAGTTTTTCCTTGCAGGTCCATAGGGGTTAAAATGTGCCACTGAGTGCTTGTTTGCTTCCTCTTGGAATCCATCCGTGTGTGAATAGTCTTATATGGCATTAATGCTTAGAAACTAATGAATTTAATGAAAAATTATAAAAGTTGAATGTTAATGTTTTGAGTTGTATTGAGTACTAACCCTGTAGTACATGTACATACATGTACATATGCACTGAGCACTCCTGTAATGTACATGTACATGTATAAACAGTGTTTAGACGCATACAAACATTCATGTACATGTACAGTATGTGTCTGCACACAGCACCAACTAGGTTTTTCTCCTAGAGTATAATGAATTGTATTGCTAAGGTCAATCAAATATCTTGTACATCTGTATTGCAGTCGTATGTCAACCAATCTTGTAAAAAATTGGACGAAGCTTGGTTAGTATAATTTAGTAGCCATAATTTGTATAACTTGGATGCCTATTAACATAAGCTGTTGTAACAGGTAAGAAATTCAAATTCATAACAAGCAGCGAGCCATGGCGCTTCGCCGTTCTAGTCTTTTGTACTGTGGGCAAAGGTAATGACCTCCTAGCATATCCAGGTCACACTTTGTAAAGAGCTGCAAAATGTATCCTTAAATAGTTTGGATAAAAGACAGTTGTGAAGTGCCTGGTCATACGATATGGCATGAGCACGTGCTTTGCTTGAGCAGGCAGTCCAAAGTTTGCACTGCCTTGGCCATCACTATTGTAAAATGTTTGCTGCCAGCATGCTTGCTATTGTCCAAAGAGTATCTATTAACATGTTACAAATAGTCATATGGACAGACCACTCCTTGGACAGACCACCCCTTAGATAGACTGGTGGCATTGACACTTCTGCAAGAACAAATATTTAATAAGGGAATAAATATAGTTTAAGACCAAGCACATATTTTTTCCCATTCATCGATACCTTTTTTAGTCAGAGAGTCAAAAGAAGTCAACAATTTCCAACAATTTTATTCTAGAATTTTATTTTTATTTTCCCGAATACCCCCGTCCACCGTATGGTACATGTATATTCCATGTGTATGTTGTCCAATAGAATCTTCTGATATGGACTTGGCGCGTGCATGGCGAGCCACATGCATACAGACTTTTAACCAATCAGAGTTGATTAAACTGTCTTGCAATCAGATGCGTGATTTACACAGTGGGCGTGATCATTCTCTGCAAGCATTTATACACGGTCAAGTTACACATTGTTGACTGGGGAGACTGTCTGAGGTATTTATGAATGAAGGTTAATAGTATCAAAGCTTGATGAGTTTTAGCTGGGTTAGAAAACAAAGCTGTGCAAAGTATACCAAACTGGGATAAGCTGTCTGTGCTTGATGGTACAGGAACTGTTTGGGGGAAAATATGCATTGTTTTATAAAAGGACATTCAAACTCCTTGAAAAAGAAGTCTCCAGGGTTCCAGCTTTTAGTGGCTGAGCCGTGGGGAAGACAATACTTGTATCTGAGCACTGCATGACAAAAAATAATAAGCAGTTCCAAATGTTTGAATTTAGCTGAAGTTTCAGTGGTGATTTATTCAAATCTGCTAGCTGGAATTCTGAGTATCTATCCATGCCCTGTCCGGCCGTGTGTTGCAGGGACAACTTTGTTGTCAGAAAATCTGGGACAAAGTTGTGGGGACAAAAATTATTTCCATAACTTATTTGTCCAACAATAAATATCTTTCCACTTCTGTTGTCCTCACAGCTGTAGTGCCTGTGTGTGTGTTTTAATATGAAGGTATTATTTCCGTTGCTACAGATAATAACAGCAAGTACAATGAACTTTTGATTACATTTTCTAAATTTTATATTTTCCCAATTTTGGTGCCTTGATAGTAGACCAGATTCATAATTAACAACTCAAAGTTTTAAATTTGGCAGAATTTATTTACTTTTTCTCAACTGAAGTTACAGCAGTTTTAATTTTGCAGATTGTACTTTGACCTTCATTGTTTATGACTCATGACTTGGTGAGCAATCTTTTCTAAGATGTCTCTAGCTTTGTGATGATCAGCAGGTGGATGTAGGAAGGCATCAGGCATGTCAGGCTTGGAGGATGGGACATTTAAAGGGTTGCTCCCAAAGTCATCTTGATGCGCCTGTGGATCGACGCCTGATAGAGCAACCTGGGAGTAATGAAAGTCCATGTTGTGTTTGCCAATCTCTGAACTTTCACTTGATTCATGCTGATGATGATCAACTGTAATCCTAGGATGGACTGTTACTTTTTTTGATGTCACATCAGCACCAGTAACTGGTTCCATTTCGCTGGTTGACGAATTCATCTTGAGATCGATATGCAAGGGAGGGGATTTGTTCAAGTCTTTCAAATCTGTGGAATGCTGTTTGGCATCTTTATGAGGTGACAAAGTTGATATTTCCACTTGTCTGTATTCATCTGCCGCTGTTTCCCTTTGTTTCTCAAAATGCTGCAGTGTTATCTTTTGCAAGATGTCAAATGCCTCCCTGCTTGCCACAGGCGGCAGAGGCAAGGCCACAGCGTGGTCAGGCATATGTACATAGGAGCTGGAGAAAGGGCTTGGCTCTTCTGAAGCTTGGGCGGGCGTGGCTGGGGAATCAGCAATGGGAGGATCTCGGTGTAAGTCTGGTGAAGCTCCTTGCTCTGTTGGGCCAGTGAAGATTAGGGGAGTCCCTTGTTTGTTATCATCAGTACTGTTCGGCTTCTTGTCAGCAGGTAGTAGAGGAAGATTTTCACTGGTTAATTTTTCCATTTGATCCTTTCCAGCTCTAGAATGAATTTGAGAATGCCTCAAGCCAGGTGGTGTATTTTGGATTGGAGGTGCATGATGCCTTTCACCAGTACCATGAGAATTAGGAGTTGATGGGAAGGTCTTAGTACATGGAAAAGTTGTCACTGGAGGTGGATAATTCAAGAATTTCTTTCTCATGCTGTCACACTCTCTCATTCTCTGGTGCCTCGACCATGAACACAGGCCTTGTTTAGTTTTCTGACATGCTGAATACAGACCCTCACAATCTAGCAGTCCTCTGTCAGTGTAGATCCTTGGGTTGTAGATACAGTGTGTGGAAACATTTCGAACTTGAAAGTTCTGTGATTCAGATGTTTCTATGGGTGTCTCAATCTATTGGAGAAATAGAGAAAATGTTGTCAATACTAAATAGTCTGTATTACTAGAGTTACTAATAACAAAATGAAGAATTTAAGGCTGAAGGGAAGAATATGAATGCTGCACAAGGTGTGTTTATCACCAAACGCGAGACTGCCTTGTCAGTTACAAATTAATGTGACCCCATTTTTATCCCTTGTTGGCAATGAGGAGATGCTCTTCTGACTTGCCCCTTTGAATTTTCCGTCCGAACTTGGTGCATGGCAGCTTTTTTTTTCTTTTGCCCCACAACTGTTCTTAATAGCTGTGTCTGTTTTGACTTCCCCCAATGTGGAAGGGTTGGACAGGTGCTTGTGGACAGGTGGTACACTTATGTTACATGCCTCTTCATTGCCCAATGCATGCATATGAGTGTGGTACCACCACAGTTGATGTCTCCTCAGATAAGTCTGTAGGGTTGAACTTTTCAGTTGGCCTATGTGAACATTGAAGACATGTACAGTGAAATGCCATGAGAACAAGTTGGACTGGAGGCATATCATGAGAAAGTGACGTCCAGTTAGGATTTAATTGGCACTCCTGGGGGAGTTCAACTTTTTCCTCCTGACAAATCACAAATTTCCCCATTTTCTGATTCAGCGTTTGTCCAGGAGCAGAATTGTGGGAGTAACTGCAAGCAAATGAGTTGGCAAGTTATTAGGTGCCATGAAATAGATACTTAGGGAGGCCAATTCACATCCTTCCTCTAGCCTGCCCCTCCCTTCACCCCCAAATAGTTCCAAGGATTGCCAAGGGCAGATCAGAACCAAGAGTTTCGGGGGGGGGGGTAAAAGAGGCTACATTTGAAGCTTTTTGCTTGCTTTTGGAAGGAAGGGGAATGAAATTGTTTTTTTAAGCATTACCTTTCTCTTTATTATTTAAAAAAAATTGGGGTTCCTTTTTGGGGTATCCATTACCCTGTTGCCCCCTCCCCCGATCCAGCCTGAAAATTTTTTTGAAGTGCAGATATATATGTAAAGTTTGTAGGTGACTTTTTCCTTACTTGTCAAGATTAAGATCATTCCAGCAGTTTTACTTTGAATCAGTATCAACCATTAAAAACTGGATTCATTTAAAAAAAAACATGGTTTTAAAGGCTGGTTCACACTTGGTGTGAAATCAAATATGGAAGCGGTGTTGTGATGTCAGATAAAATATTGACATTGTGAATTTGCTGAGGTTCAATACATTTTGGCTCACCACCCTTCTGCATACACCTGCAGCTTAAAGCACCTTTAAGTTATAAGTTTAACTTTTTCCATTGACAAGTTCTTGCTTATTGCTATTTTGTCATAATCTGCTGGATTACACAAATGACCATGACTTGCTTGACAACACAACACTTAGACAGCACGTACTAAGTTTAAAAAGTGGGTCCGTAGTCCTTCTTTTCAGACAAATCTGCGATAAGATTACTTCATTTAGGTGATAAGTCATTTGGGATCCACATTAAAATTCTTTGAACTATGTGGTCTTTTCGTCTGGTTATTTTTTATCAAGTTTTCAGATTGTATATTGAGGCACACATAATGAAATTTTATTTTACTTTTTTTTTCTTATCTTTCTCCATTGGGTTGCAGCTTTGCATTAAGGAAGAAAGTATACAAATGCACAGTAAAAGAGGTTTGATGATTTTGGGGAAAGATACAGATAGGCCCAATAAAAGTCAGCAAAGACAAAAGAGTGAGGTACAAGATTAGTAAAGAATGTAAACAAAGGCCAGATGGCCATGTCAGGGATAGAACCAGTGTGGTCAATGGACAGAGGAATTTTCAACCAGGGGTTTGTTCCACATTGCAAGAAGGGGCGAGGGAACAGTTGTCAAGCCATTTGTCTATAAATGTTGCTCCTTTAACAGTCGAAACATTTTTCTACCTGGCAGGAGTTACACTGCCTTGGGTACACGTGTCTGAGATGTCGAAATAATGTTGATGTCATCTCCTCGCAAGATGTTCTCCAGTCACACTGGCGATGAATGAAATCACCCCCAGATACACTTCCTGTTTAAAAAAAAAATTTCTTGCTTTGTTTCCATTCTTTAAGTTCTTAACATATTTTCATGTTATCAAGAGGGGAAAAAGTCACTTCATGTTTCACCTTTATCCAAATTTTGCAGTTGATATAAAAGTCCAACTGCTATCATGTCTGTAATGACTATATTCAAAGTCCAGTGTTCAAGAGCTTCATGCTTGTATTAGTCAAAGTCCAATCTCCTGAAGGTATTTTACTTTCGGTCTTTTTCCATTCAACAGGGGATGAATTTCATATTCAGTACACTTGTTCATTTTAATATAATTGATGTTGTTGGATGGGGGAATAGTGTGTTAACCTGTACAGTCTATACTGTGAAATTATTCAAATAAACGAAACACTTCTGATAACTGTAAATAAGGTTATCCTTCAACCTGCCCTCTGTAGTCATTCCAATCTTTCGCCCTCCCTGAAAACAATCAACATGCTGCCCTGGAAACTGTCTCAGGAAAGGTAGCATTATGTTCGTTGCTGAGGATACAGTGATTGTTATGGCTGGTCTTCGACACCCGTTAAACGTCAAGTTGGCCGAAGTCATAAAAACCTGTATGAAACTGAAGTCATTTTTCTCAGTTCACTCAAATTGTAGTCTGTAATAGCATTTGGTCGTTTGCCCTTCTTGTTCCAGAAAACAAGACGGAAATAACAGAAGATACGATATAAACAGGAAATTGACGTCATGAAGCATCTCAGTGAAATTTGCTGAAATTGAGCTTTTGAAATTTGTGTGATTTCTGTTAGTAAAAATCTACAGTGATGTAACAAATGTGTGTTATATTCAAATTTATCCAGAAAATACGCTGCCTTTGACTTACAAATACATATATATTTGCCGTAATGGTTATTAAAGTACTTTATCTTTCATTAGTACCTACCACTTAGTAAATACTCCTCATCGTTTTGTAGATATTTCTGCTTACAGCTCAGCCCTGCTGTTTCAGCTTGAATAATTACATAATGTCCATTTGCCATCCACTCCGGTCCCTTGTAAATCTTGTTGATTTTCACTTTGTACTTGGTGATGTTGCCATGCAGTTTGTGCGCTGCTCTCAGATCTCCATCAGACAATGCGGTTGTCGACCTTGGTTGCAAAGATAACCTATCATTGATGGGAGACACTCCCAAGGTTGCCTGTTGATTTGAAGGAGGTGTTGAAGTGGTGATGAGGGCCTCTTTGGATTGGTCTACATCGGCGTCCAAGGTGCTTGTTGTCAGGGTGCTTGTTGCTGCAATAGTTGCTGCCGCTATTGCAGCAGTTGTTGCTGCTGGTGCTCTCCCTTTTTTCTGAGATCTCTTGGGGATGAGATCTTCCTCTGAAACATTTTCCATGCTCAGAACTTTTCCTTGGAGTACTGCAAGTAAGAATAAAAAAATGACACGTGGATTTGTATTTCATTTCATTTCAGATGTCATAGGCTTCTTTTTTCCTACTTGATGGTTTAGGATTTTGAGTGGTTCATGTAGCTATGTTGTGGTACCTGAGCCTTAGTCCCAACTCAAGTCCACTTTTTGGCAATCTCTGATTTGAACTCATTAACTTAAGACTCAGACTTGCACTTTGATTTTCTCAAATTTGGTCTCAAACTTTGATTTTTGAGACCTCGTCTCCAATTCAAAGTTATAGGGTTCAAACTCGAAAGTGCTGGACTCAACTGCAAAGCTGACTCATAATTTTTTTTCTCAAATGTATAAAAGGAGACAGTAAGGATTTCATACTGAGTTTTTGATTTGACAGAAAACTCACCAAAATCTGAATGGCAGAAGTGTTGTTGTGGGTGCAGTGGTTTACAACTTTTGCACACTGTTGGTGTTCCACTGCAACCATGGCAAGATGTAATGAGTAGCAACAACAGGAGAAAGACTCCTGGAGATTGCAGAAGGTGGCCCATTTTCATTGCCCCGTTGCCGCAGTCCCTGCCAGACCTGAACTTGGTTCACTTGTCAAGTGGCCAACGCATCCAGAAGATCTCTCCCCACTGTCAATTTTTGTGTGTTATCTTGGACAAATATCAGTAAATATTGAAGCTGGTCCCAGGCTTCAAGTATTTCAATATGGCATTGTTCTTTACAGTTATCAGCTTTATCTCCCAGGACCTGAGAAAAAAATGAAGGCAGACCTTCTGATCATAATTTATTTGCCAAGTTACTCAATCTGAAAGAGAATGGACTTGTTAAGAGTTGAGGACAATGAGGACTTTAATATAACAGAATTCAACTTCCAAAATCACATTGTGTGGACTTCCATTTGTGTGCAAAGCTAGTTGCAAAGTTCACTATTTATTGTTGCATTCTATTGTGATAGATTAACAATAAAACTTGTAGGTGAATGGCCCCAAGTGAGATGTCAGAAGGCATCGAAGATAACTTTGCTGTTGGTCAATTATTCCATGAGCTGCATGCGTGAACAAGAGATGGTGGGATTTCAAATATGAACAGTGTCTCTTTGGTGGGGACAGTCCACTGCTTTTATCCTATCCCAAACAGTCGTTAAATATGCAAATTCCTTTATTTTATTCACTAAAAACATGATCAACTGTAGTGCACCCTCTACTCCCATGATGCTAGCGGAATGGCCACCGTGTTCATCCTTCTTTTTCTTTGCACCATTGTGAATGGACTTGTCATTTCTGGCATCTTCGAGTTTTTTGAGTTTCCGTTCTCACTCCACGTTCCTGTGTTATCTTGACCAACTGTAACGTATATATAACAAACTGTAGTTTCCAAATGTACACATATTAATTCTAAATGTGTGTTATTTGTCGTTTTGTGTGGTGTTTTTTGCTTTCTCTTTGTATGTTCATGCTCATAGGTTACCGATGTTGATTTACGTAGCTCGTGCCACTTGGCGATATTATATAGGGATGGTTGGGCGCTTAACACATTCAGTGGTTCCCAACTCCCCCCCTCAGACCGACAGGAGTCGGGTAGTAGTCATGATCGAGATGTTAAGGTTCAAAGCTGAGACTCGTGATTACAGTGCTAATGGTCCACTCCTCCAGCACACAGACTGGATGGAACCAAGGTTAGCCAATGACGACACACAGGGGACTGAGCTGTGGCGTGTGGGATGGGAATGCTGAGCTCCCCTAGTGTAGTTACCAGAGTAAAAAGGTCTATTGTGGCAGTCCACATTCCACAACACCTGCCGAAGAATAAAACATTCTCATGGCAGAGTTGTGAAGGCTTGAGTCAGTGACTCAACTCTAGTCACTTTTTTGGTAACTCGACTCGACTTGAGTCTCTGCTGTTAGATGACTCGACTTGAGTCACAAAAATCAGTGACTCGTTACAACTCTTATACACATGTATATGTACATACATCAGCACATGTTTGCATGGATACGTGGTTTGAACTTTGTGACTGTTACAACCAGGGGCCAATTTCATGGAGCTGCTTAAACATAAATTTTGCCCAAGTGTTAAAAACCGTTACTCAATAAAATAAGGTTGCTGGCCTAAACTCCATCTAATGTATGTTGGTTTTGAATGGTATTAAGTTGTACATTTTGGTTAGCAAGACAAATACAGAGAGCTTTGGCCGGTGACCTTATTTACTGAGCAACGTTTTTTTGCACTTCAGCAAATTTTTGCTTTGGCATCTCTATGAAATTGACACCTGGTGAGGCAAATCTCCAGGGCTTTCTCTTGGGATAAGCAACTACTGAAACCAGCAGAGTGATTTTATTGAGTGCAGTTTTTTCACACTTAGCAAATGTTGTGCTATGCTCCTCATCAATAAATTCAAAACAGCACACAAATTTCTATCTCGTGCTGTTTATTTATTATGTGTCCAAATGTTTGTGACTCAAATTGACTCAGGCAAAATAAATGACTCGACTCGACTTCTCAGTGTGATGACTCGACTCTCTGCTGTGAAATGACTCAACACGACTCGAGTCACAAAAATCAGTGACTCGTTACAATTCTGGCTCACGGAAGGACAGCCCCACAGCGCCTATGCCAGCCACACCTACCGCCTCACGCCACGAGCCAACACCTTTAGATACTTTTCAATGGGGGCATCCAGGAGTGAATTAAACACTACACCCTCCTGGGCCACTTCCCATTATCATCAGGGGCATCCTTGGTCAGTCAGTGCCGGGCAACACAAGCACAATGCAGTCCGCATCACAGGCAACAGGAGCCACTGGCCTGCTTTGCTAACGAGGCTTTCGCATGCCGTACGTCAGAATGGCTGGAACAACTCCGAGGCAACTACCTCGGTGGTTCATCAGACTTCTCCAACCACACGCTTCTCTCCTTCATGTAGTGCGTCCTCACTTTACCCGCCTCCAGGGAACAGTGCTACTCTGCATGTTTAGCGACTGTTTGGGATAGGTATTCAATAGCAGACCCCTCCCACACGTGCACTTGTGTTCACTGGAACGTACAGTAGTCTCATAGGTTCCATTCGCCCAGTTGAAAGAGACCTCACTAGCTGTCTTTCCAATGCCAAAGTGAGGGTGGCAGTGGACATGGTAATGGGTGCACCAGGTATATTGTATTGCAAACTCAACAGTGCTTCATGACGCGTTAGTATTCCATTGCATTTCCAAATTTAGAGCAATTTCTCCTTCAAATATTGAGCACATCAAAGTTGGCATTACGTGGACTGCATTTGCAAGAGATGTTCTTTGCCTGAATGACTACCGAAAGTGTCTTCTTTTACATTTCAGTACAGAAATATTGGGGAATCGGTGCTGATATCTGAAAAAAAAAAAAGATCTTACCTCTGTCAGTTGTGTATGGTTGCACCCCTGGCTCCTAGCCTTAATGTCGTCTCAAAGTCTGCAGTTTCACTCTCTTGAAGCTTGTGAACAAATATTGCACCACAAGTTCATTATGATCCATCTAGTGTTTGTTGCACAGTCTGGATGTAGATTTCCCACGGGAGTATGTACTTGAAGCCTTGGGTGGTTTCGTTTGTGTCCTCTTTTCAAAGAAACTCGTGTTTCTTTTTTTTTTTTTTGACCTGGTACTCTGTTCAAACTTTTATGGGGATTTCCCTGCTGCATTCTGAAATGCTTTTTTCTGGATTTTTTTTCTTGTGCTAATGGCTAATACACTGGTTGGTGGTTCATACCCCCTTCCTTGGGAAGAAAGAGGGTCATCCGAGCTGGTACAGCACCTTTACTTGGCAGGTCTCTTGTTCATATCCCATTGATGCGGGGTGGGGGGCATATGATGTGTCATCCTGGAAAAGAACAGTGACAGGTGGAAACAAGGAAATCACCAATTTGCTTGGAAATACTTTAGCATTGATGCCCATTTATGTTGCTGATTATATTTTGTCCCCTCCCCTCTCCCAGAAAGGACTTTTCCTCCTTCCAATGGATTCCTGTGGCTGAGCTTGTAGAGAGGATCCATAAGTTTGGAAGTTTCTTGCTCATGTCAGACTTTTTCAGGGAGCCTACTGGATAGCCTGGCTCAACTTGTGGAGTGTTAGTATTTTGGAGATGTCAGGTTCATGTCCACAAGGAAGGAAGCTATCTCAGTTGGGAGATCAGTGGTGCATACAATGGTTTGAAGATCTGTGGTTTTAACCTCATTGTTGACAGTTAATTTTTGAGTGAGTTTCCGTATAATTTTAAAATTCATTTGGTTAATTAGTTCTTGTTGATCATGTTATAAAGGTGTAAGTTACAGGGGAGGGGTGGATTTGTCAAGATATATCCTGGTTTTAGGATTTTTCTCTTCAGGATTTTCCCAAATATCAGCATTTTTCAAAAAGTCTCCTTTAACGTCTGTAAAATTTGGAGCTCACCATTAATGCACTTTTACATATGTGGTCACAAATTGCCATTTTTATAAAGGTTGTGGTGGCCTCAACAAAAAGGTAATTAACCCAAAGATGATAGAGTTTGCAATGTTTATTAGCACAGTTCAGTTTCTGTATGCTTTAATAGCAATCAATGAGTAAATCAAT